TGCCCGGGTTTATTTTTGGTGTCATGATAATACTGGCTGTGTAAAGTGAGTGTGAAGTGTCTATTTAGGGAATAATTTGAGAATGAACATATTATTCTTTGTTTGGTAGAATTTACCATAAAAGCTGTCTGTTCCTGGGCTTTTGTTTATTGGGAGGTTTTTGATTACTGATTCACTCTCCTTACTGGTAATCAGGCTGTTTTCTGTTCATGATTCAGGTTTGGAAGGTTATGTGGTTTTGTGTTTTTTTTAATGTTTATTTTTGAGAGAGAGAGAGCGAGCGAGTGAGCGCGCGAGCATGAGTAGAGGAGGGGCAGAGAGAGGAGACACAGAATCCGAAGAAGGCTCCAGGCTCTGAGCTGTCAGCACAGAACCCAACCCTGGACTCTAGCCCACACGTTGTAAGACCATGACCTGTCCCAAAGTTAGATGATGCTTAACCGACTGAGCCCCAGGTGCCCTAGAAGGTTAGATGTTTCTGGGAAGTTGTGCATGTCTTCCACATTGCCCAATTTGCTGGAGTGCAGTTGTTCATAGTAGTTTTCTATGTTCCTTTGAATTTCTTTGGTATCACTTGTAATGTGTCCTCTTTTATTTCTGATCTTACTTTAGTCCTCTTTGTTTTCTTGGTGAGTCTAGCGAAAGGTTTGTCCCTTTCATTTATCTTTACAAAGAACTAGGTCTTGCTTTCATTTTTTTTTTCTGTTGTTTTTAAAGTCTCCATTCCATTTCTTTCTTTTTTTTTTTTTTTTAATTTTTTTTAATGTTTTATTTATTTCTGAGAGAGAGAGAGACAGCGTGAGCAGGGGAGGGTCAGAGAGAGAGGGAGTCACAGACTGAAAGAGGCTCCAGGCTCCAAGCTGGCAGTCAGCACAGAGCCCGACGCGGGGCTCGAACCCACGAACCGCGAGATCATGACCTAAGCGAAAGTCGGACGCTTAACCGACTAAGCCACCCAGGCGCCCCTCCATTCCATTTATTTCTGCTCTGACCTTTATTATTTCCTTTCTTCTACTAACTTTGGGTTTATTTGCTGTTCTTTTTCTAGTTTCTTGAGATATAAAGTTGAGATTTTTCTTTTTTCTTTTTTTTAAACTTTACATCCAAGTTAGCATATAGTGCAACAGTGATTTCAGGAGTAGATTCCTTAATGTTCCTCACCCATTTAGCCCCCTCGCCCACAACCCCTCCAGCAACCCTGTTTGTTCTCCATATTTAAGAGTCACTTAAGTTTTGTCTCTTTGCCTGTTTTTATATTATTTTTGCTTCCCTTCCCTTATGTTCATCTGTTATGTGTCTTAAAGTCCTTATATAAGTGAAGTCCTATGATATTTGTCTTTCTGTAATTTCACTTAGCATAATGCCCTCTAGTTCCATCCATGTAGTTGCAAATGGCAAGATTTCATTCTTTTTGATTGCTGAGTGATACTCGGTGTGTGTACACACACACACACACCACATCTTCTTTATCCATTCATCCATTGATGGACACTTGGGCTCTTTCCGTATGTGGCTGTTGTTGACAGTGCTGCTATAAACATTGGGGTGCATGTGCCCTTTTGAAACAGCATACCTGTATCCCTTGGATAAATACCTAGTAGTGCAGTTACTGGGTCTTTTTTATCTTTTGCTCATCTGGAAAACTTTTTATCTGTCCTTCAACTATGAATGATAACTTTGGTGGGTAGAGTGTTCTTGGTTGGAAGGTTTTTTTTTTTTTTTTTCCAGTACTTTGAATATATGGTGCCACACTCTTATGTCCTGTAATGTTTCTGCTGAAAAATGTGCTCATAGTCATATGGGGTTTTCCTTGTATGTAACAAGTTGGTTTTTTTCTTGTTGCTTTTAAGATTCTCGTGTGTGTGTGTGTGTGTGTGTGTGTGTGTGTGTGTGTGTTTAACTTCTGACATTTTATAATGTGTTTGGTATGGGTCTCTGCATTCATTTCATTTAGAAGTCGCTGTCCTTCCTGGATCTGTAGGTCTTTCCTTCCCCAGGTTATTGAAGTTTTCAGTTACTGTTTCTTCAAATAAGTTTTCCACCCCTTTCTCCTTCTGGGATTCATATAATGTGAATATTGGCCTGTTTGGTGTTGTCTTCCAAGTCCCTTAAGCTGTCTTCACTTTATTTCATTCTTTTCTCTTTTTGCTCTGTTGGGTGAGTTCCTCCATCCTGCCTTCAAGTTCATTTATCCAGCTTCATCTGGTTAGCTATTGAACCCTTAGTGTGTTTTTCACATCAGTTTTCGTATTTTCAGCTCTGTGACTTCTATTGGCTACTTTCTTGTATTTTCCTACCTTTCTGTTGATGTTCTCACTGTGTTATCCACTCTTCTCCTGAGTTTGGTGAACATCTCGATGACCATTAGATTAAACTCTTTATCAGATAAATTCTTTATCTTTATTTCATTAAGGTTTTTAAAGAGTTCGATCTTGCTTTTTTGTTTGGAATGTGGCCCTTTGTTCATCATTTTTCTTGACTGTTTGTTTCCCTGCATTAGGCAAACTAGCATCCCCTACAGGTCTTGAAGAGTTGGCCTGTGAAGGAGATGAAACTTACCCTACAGCCCTGTCCTAGCTCTTGGCTGTTTCTCAAACTTTTGTAATTACCCAAGCAGCCTATCTTGTTTCTAATAGCTCCCAGTACTTTGGGTTGCTCCAGGGCCAGTTAATATCCCAAAAGGGAAGATCTCATTTGGCACCTTGATTCAGGCTAATTGGAAGTCAGACACTTGGGTAATAGCTTTCTTTTCTTTTCTTTCTTTTTTTTTTTTTTTAATGGTTATTTATTTCTTCTGAGAGAGAACACATGGGAGGTGTAGGGGCAGAGAGGGAGAGAGAATCCACACTGGCAGCTTGGAGCCTGACATGGGGTTCAAACTCACAAATTGAGACTATGAAATGAGCCAAAACCAAAAGTCAGATGCTTAACCTGCTGAGCCACCCGGACGCCCCGTGCCAGCAGCTTTTAAGGAATGGAAAGTATGTGCAGCTGTGTGCGACTGCAAGTGTCAGTCCCACTGACCGGCACAGCCTGGTCATATGCAGGTGGCCACGGTGGCAGCTGTAAAGATCCGGCTTCCTTCTGAGAGACCCAGGTGAGCTGTCGTGAGGTAGCAGGAGAGCACAACGATAGCGCCCCCTGGCTACATTCCTTGCGAGCAGCTCTGCCGCTTCTAGATGGCTGCCAGACTTGAAGACTGCCCCTCAGGCTGGAGCCCTGGGACTGGCAGTTAGGCCCCTTTCCCACGAGGGCTGGGGGTGTTTCAGTCCGCTGTCTATGCGGTGCGCTGGTGGTGGTCGCAGTCTCAGAACTGCCTCCCTGATCGTTACAGTCCCACGAGCCTCAGGACCCAAAGCCACCCCCACCCCCCCACCAGAGCTGGGTGATCAAGGCTTAGGCCCTGGGAGGCAGCCACGAAAAGCAGGGTAGCAGATGTTAAAACTGGGGCACCACACCCACACACAGGCTGCCCTCTGAGAGGTGCTGGTGCTGTGAGACACAGCAAAAGCGACGATGGAGATGGGGCCTGGCCTTCAAGGTCTCCGGAAAGGTTTCCAGTTAGCCCCCAGGTGTGCGTTCACTTAGGCTCCTGTGCTGAGAAGCTACCAGGCTCTTTCACAGAGAGACTGAGCCCGTGTCTGTTGCCTCTTGCGGAGCCCTAGGGTGCCGCTGTTGAAGAGCTCTTTCTCCGTTGCTTACAGTTCGGTAGGACCTGTGACGGTAAGTCCCACCGGCCAGCGGAGCCAGGTGACAGAGAGGAGGCCCCTGGCAGCCACTGCAGAACTCAGGGCACCAAGCAAAGGCCATAAGCTCCTTTCTGGAAGATCCCAGTGAGTTGGAGTGAAGCAGAGGGAGAGTGCCAAACTCCGTCCCCGGGCCTCCATTCCCTGAGAGCCCTTCTGTGGGCCTCTGGGACTGTGCCACCCCCGAAGCCTCAGGCAAAGGAATTGTCTCTCTCTCAGAAACTGGGAATGGGTTTCAGTCCGCTCTCAGTGCCGTGGCCTTGAGTGGTCGTCTACCAGGAACTGTCTCTCCAGTTGGGAGAGTCCTGTGGACCCAGGAGCGCGAGCCTCCCTGGCCTTTCAAGCCAAGTGCTCAAGGGCTTCCCTGAAAAGTGGGTTAGCAAATGTAAAAACCGGGGCACCAGACGCCAGTAGACGCTTTCCGCCAGCAGATACTGGTGCTGGGGAGCACGGCAGGTGGGGAGCCGGACTGTGTCCCCCGCTGGAGGGAGGCAGAGGGGCCTGCAAAGACGGCACCCGCTGCAGAAGGGGGGAGAAAGGAGACCAGATGGGCCCCAGAAAAAGATGGCAGCCACAGCTTTAGCAAGGCGTCGAAGATGGCACGGTCCACTCCGTCCCTGAAGAGGCTCTCAGGGTGGTTTGAAAATGAGGAGCCTCTTTCGCGTAGACCCTGGGCACTTTTCGGAGAGCTGCTTCTGCCCTGGGCCCTGTGTGAGTGAGTCGGCACGGGGCCCTGTAAGAGCCCTTCTTAGCCACTGGCCCCAGCCCCGCAGGCCCAGGCCCAGGCCGGCTGGTCTCCAGAGCCAGGTGTTCCTGGGGCTCGCCTCCTAGGCACAGGTCTTAAAAGCTGGGCTGTGAGGTGTGTGAGGTTGAATCCTCTGCCTCTCAGGGAGAAGCTCCGAGTTTGAATTCCCTCCCAATGGTCGGTTGTCGCACTGGGGGTGGGGCCCACGGTGAGGCTGTCTTGGCCTCCCCTACCTGCTTTGTGGTGCTGTCCGGTTCTTTGTCCACGCGGAAGGAGTCCATCTGCCGGACTTTAGGCTGTTTTCCAGGGGAAACTGGCCCATATATAGCTATAGATTTGGTGTGTTCACACGAGGAGGTGAGTTGAGGGTCTTCCCACGTTGCCATGTTGGACCGCGAGCACTGGCTTCCCTAAGAACGCCATACAAAAGGAGTCTAATATTTGCTGACTAGAAAATCAAACCACTGAAAATGTGCATTGATAATCATTCTTCTTAATTTCTGACGTAGGAGTTTATACAAGGAATAGAAACTTTCGGCTGTATAAGTCATCGAAGATAGGGAAGCACGTGGCTTTGGAGATTGCTGAAGATAACAAGTTTTTTCCTAAACATTCAGAGAATATTTCTGGAGAAAATCAGTATTTCCTGTCGTCTTTGGTCAGCAACGTCAGGTATATAGTACCAGCATCCAACTGTATATTCGTGAATGCTTATTAAGCAGTGAAAGGCATTGTATGGTCCTAAAATGTGAGTTGTGTAAATTTGTTCTAACTTAAGGTAAAGGAAGTTCTCAACACTAGGGTAATGGTTTTTTATAAAGAAGAAAATTAAAACTGTTCCATTTAGAAATAGTTACTGTTAATATCTATTTTTCTTTTCATTTATGTGTGTTCGTACATATTTACATACCTTACCTCCTCCACTCAAATAATATTTGAGCTCATCATATGATTATATCTGTTGTTTTATCCACTCAACATTATATTACAAATATCAGCCAAGTTAATAATTTGCAACCATTAGCTATAATGAAAACCTAAAAAAATTGTTTTTAAGTGTTTACTTATTTTTGAGAGAGAGAACACAAGGAGGGGAGGGGCAGAGAGAGAGAGAGGGAGACACGGAATCCAAAGCAGGCTCCAGGCTCTGAGCTGTCAGCACAGAGCCCTATGTGGGGCTCGAACCCATAAACTGTGAGATCAAGACCTGAGCCAGAGTCGGATGCTTAACTGGCTGTGTTACGTTTTTCCAAAGTAACGTCAAGGTTTTAGTTTCCTTGCCTTTAAAACGGAGATAATATGAACACCCCTCTTAGGGAGTTGTGAAGATTAAATGTGTGAAAAGGTACACACAAGATTATAGCCGTGCCTGGCACAGGCTGTCTGTGGGGTAAGTGCTCGCTGTTAGTGGCCGTTCCTGAGATTCTGCAAGTCCAGTGGTAGCAGTGTAGGAATTAATGTCACTGTTGGCACAGACTTACTCTGTCTTGTGTGGCCTCTGTGACAGCCTGAAGCAATCTCCCGATTACCAAATCCTGTTTCTTTTGTACTTTCAATGTTAATTGCATAGAAGTGGAGAGTTCTTCTACTGAATGGGGTTTCCTTAATTTTCTTTTGTGTAGCCAAGTAAATACGGGTTTCTCTCCCTGAAATAAAGGCTAAATTCTTTATGGCTATGAGTATGTCTTTCAGTTAACTTTGTTTTTTCCTTCATTTTCATCCCTCCTTCCTTCTTTTTTTCCTCCCACACTTTTCAAATTATTTCTACACATCTTCACACTTTTCAAATCATTGTAACAAAAATTTCAAAGGCTCTGTATGTTTGGAGAAGAGGATTGTACTTCCTTCTGTAGCTTTAGCAGTCTCAGAGTTCTCTGACTCACTCTGTGGTTGAAGAAAGTATTTTAATTTTTAACAATTTATTTTAGAGAGAGGGAATGGGGGATGGAGAGGAGTAGAGAGAGTGAGAGAATCCCAGATAGGTTCCACGCTCAGTGCAGAGCCTGAGGAAAAGCTTAATCCCATGCAGGACCTGGGATCATGATCTCAGCTGAAATCAAGAGTCAGGAGTCAGATGCCCAACTGACTGAGCTGCCCGGGTGCCTCAAAGAAAGTATTTTAAGTGATCATCACACTACTCTTTTCTACATGGATCAGATTGGTGTTTTTGTAGGCAAATGTGGCTTGATTGTCCCAGAACAATTAGCTTTTGAAAAAGGATTTTAATGTGGAACTATTTGAAATGCAGTCTCCTTTCCCAGGCCATCTCTCTTTAATTCTAACATAATCTTAACTTTGTTTCTTTCACATATTTTCTTCAGATTCTCAGATACTTTACGAATTCTGACATGTGACACATCTCAAAATAAAGAAAAACGAATTGAATATTTTAACAGCACCAGCACTAAAGGTAATTTTAAGAGAACAATTTCCAATGAAAATTTAAGGATACAAAGTCTGTTTTGCCTTAAAAATCTTAAATCTTCAGTAATCACATCTACTAATTTATTTATCTTTTTTAGATTTTATTTATTTTGAGAGAGAGAGAGACTGAGCTAGTAGTAGGGGAGGGGGGGAGAGAGAGAATCCCAAGCAGGCTCTGCACCAACAAGGTTCTTGAACTCATGAACCATGAGATCATGCTCTGAAATGAAACCAACAGTCACTCAACCAGCTGCGCCACACAGGTGCCCCAGTATCTACTGATCCTTTATTTATTTATTTTTAATAAAAATGTTTATATTTGAAGGAAAGAGAGAGTGTGAGCGGGGGAGGGGCAGAGAGAGACACAGAATCTGAAGCAGGCTCCAGGCTCTGAGCTGTTAGCACAGAGCCCGAAGCGGGGCTCAAACTCACAAACTGTGAGATCATGACTTGAGCAGAAGTCAAACGCGTTTAACTGACTGAACCAGCCAGGTGCCCCAAGAAAAGATATTTTTTAACGCTTATTCACTAATATCCATTATATGATGGTTTTGGGAACAACAACCACAGGAATATAGAGTAGATTGTTGGTAGAAAAACCATCATTAAAAGAAAAACCTAGGGGGACTCGGGTGGCTCAGTTGCTTAAGTGCCCGACTTTGGCTCAGGTCATGATCTCACAGTTTGTGACCTTGAGCCCCTATGTTGGGCTCATTGCTGACAGCTAGCTCAGAGCCTGGAGCCCTCTTCAGAGCCTGTGTCTCCCTCTCTCAATACCCCTGCTCTGCTCGTGCTCTTTCAAAAATAAAAAAAAAGAAAAGAAAACCCTAAAAGTCCTCTTCCCTCTCTGTGCACAACCAATATGTTCTTCATTTTTATACCGAAAAACATACAGGTTTTTTCTATGATTCCATACGTTAATTCTCCAGTGAACAATTATAAACATATTCTGGATTATCATTACTTATAGCAATGAAAACCCAGAAACAATATAAATGTACAACAAAATGGCATTGGTTACATCCTATAACATGCTCAATAGCCAATTTATAAAATTTATAAAACCAGTATAACATGAGAAATGCCCATTTATGATGTAAAGAGAAAAAGTAGACTCTGAAATTGTTTGGGAGGTGTGATCACAGCTTCATTAAAAACATGGAGAAAATTTTCTTACGCTTATTTTCTCCTTGGTGTTTAACAGTTATTTCTACATATTGGAGTTTATTTCTCTCATTTCTGCTTTAATACATTTTCCAAAGTTTCTCCCAATTATGTATATTACTTTTGTAAGTGAAATACAGGTATTTATTTATGTATTTGTTTATTTGCACACATTTTTTAAAAATGTATTTATTTGGAGAACAGGAGGGAGAGAATGAAAGGAAGAGTGAACCCTTGAGAGCCGGTCACTTAACTGACCAAGCTACCCAGGTGCCCCTATTTATTTGTTTATTTAGAGAGAGCACAAGTAGTGGAGAGGGGCAGAGAGAGGGAGAGAAAATGTTTAGTAGCCTCCACCCTTAGCGCTCAGAGCAGAGTCCGACTCAGGGCTCGATTCCACGACCCTGGGATCATGACCTGAGCCAAAATCAAGAATCAGACACTCGACCGACTAGGCCACCCAGGTGCCCCAATATAGGCTTTATTTTAAGAGCGGTACATTCCTTCCGTGTTTAAAAATTAAGTGAGATTTTAAGTAAATGATTGTAAATTATTCCAGTAGATTCTTAGATACAAAAGAGAACAGAACTGTCAGAGCCCTACTGCTAAAGGTCACAGGAGAAGCAACTGCAGTGATGGGGGGGGGGGGCATGGGTCACGTGTTGGGGAACACGGGCCACCGGGATCTGTGGGGCAGCTCAGTACAAGGGTGTGAGAAACGACTTCTGGGGTTCAGGCTTGAGTTGGGTGTTTTGAGGCGTGTCCAAGGCAGCATGGTTTGTTTTCAGTTGGGTGCGTCAGAGACCATCCCGCGACTGAATATCTTCCTAAAGTTTACTGGAAGGAAGGCAGACTACAGTGGGACTAGCTATGGCTGGTGAAGGGGCCCCAGTTGCTCAGATCGGATGGGAGGCCTTTGGTCATTCTTGTGGTTTGGAAATTGTGTTTTGTCTGTGATTGCAGAGCGCTCTTGTGTGGGTCTTGAATCATCTCGGCCACAGAGTGGCCTTATGTGATGTTGAAATTCTGTGAAACCGTTTCTGATCAGCAGGCGAATGCAGGGCCGAGCTGGTGTACCCAGCCCGCTTATGGCAACATCAGGCCCCAGCTTGACGGGACTAGGCCAGCTCCGGGCTCTTCCTTTTCTGTTTAAAAATCAAGAAAGCCGTCGGAATGATTAGAAGTGCTTCTTAGGAAAATTAGTTAACTTGGACTTAGTTGAGAGGTTTGAATAGCACTTGTTTATTTGTAGGATAATCCCAGAACCCATGACTGACTAAAAGACAAATTGCAGAATGGGGGGAAAAAACCCCCCAAAAACCTGGAGAGTTTCCAAAACCTGTATTAAAGAACAACTTAAATGAAAATTTAACTCTTCAACTTTTAGCCACTTTAATTATAATGAATTTTTCTCTTTGTTGCAGCAGAAAACATTGAGGGTTTTCGTTGTTCGCCCTACCCTGAAATCGATCAATTTGTTCTCTCTTTGGTGAATAAAAATGGCATTCAAGGAGGTAAAGACAATCTTATTCTTTATTCACTGTGATATCATGGAGTTATGAAAGCTTCAGAAACATTCTTTGCATTTTAGGAATTCGGCGTTGGAGCTACTTTTTCCTTGAAGAATTACTGGTTTATGATATCTGTAAATATCGCTGGTGTGAAAACATCTGAAGAGCCCACAAGAGCAATAATATCATGTAGGTCATATTGTGTATTGAGTTCCATGTATTTAACAAATGTTACATTTTACATTTTTATAATTTTTACAGTTGAAAATATAAAAATGATTTTTATAACAAATTTATTTATATCACATACTGTATTTGGTTTATGTTTTATAATATTTACTTTGACTATCTTAATTCTCATCTGTACTTGATTTGGTAACATAATCCATTAGATAGTATAATATTAAAAAGAGTAAGTAGAATTGAGCGGAGCTAGAAAGAAATTTGAGGCAGTGGACAGGTGGAAGGAAGTGTCTCTCCCTCATCTGTTGCCATCGGTCCTTGACATGTCATGGAGTGTCAATTGAAATTGAGCAAATTTGGGTGAAATTGAAATTCTTCGGTGCTAAGAGTTGGAATTAAGGTCACCGTGTTCAAGATGAAGAATGATATTGAAAGGAACAAATCACCAGGCCCTGTTTTGGGAGTTTTCTTTAAAATCCCCCTGGTAAAGAAGAAGGAGTCAAGAATGAAGTGAAACCAGAAATAGATAAATTTTAGATAAAACAGGGGCACCTGGGTGTCTGCTGGTTAAGCATCTGACTCATGATTTTGGCTCAGGTCATTATCTCATGTTTGGGGAGTTTGAGCCACACATTGGGCTCTACACTGACAATGCGGACCCTGCTTGGGATTCTACTCTCTCCTATTCCTCCCCCACTTTTGCTTTCAATCCCTCTCTGTCTCTCTCTCTCCCTCTCTCACACAAAATAAATAAGTAAACTTTAAAAAATACTAAAAAAACCCCAACCCTTTAGATAATACAAAGATATGGTCAGGATAGGGATAAGGCAGAAACCCAGTAGTTCTCATTTATGATATGGGAGATCTTGAAGTATTTTATATTTAACATCAAAGCTGAGACTTCTATATGTCAAGTGTATATAGCATGTGTGTCAGACATGAGAAAAGATTGTGAAGTTCTGCTAGGAAGCTGGAGAACATGTCGGGTAGCACAATTCAGTGCTATACTTATGTATGTAGATTAACTCAGTTAAAAAAAAAAACACTTCAAAAGCTATATGCTCAACACACAGAAGCTGTCAAATAGAATAACACAAAAAAAGATTACCCATAGGCCCAGAACCAGTGATAATTGTGCTTATGATTTTGGTATATCTTTGTTGTCTTTTACTGTATGGATATATAAGTTTACCCGTGAGTCATTATCATAAGATGATCATCTTTTTTTTTAAAGAATTTTTTAATTTTAATTTTTTTTTTAACGTTTTATTTATTTCTAGGAGAGAGAGAGAGACAGTGTGAGCAGGGGAGGGTCAGAGAGAGAGGGAGACACAGACCCTGAAATAGGCTCCAGGCTCTGAGCTGGCAGTCAGCACAGAGCCCGACGCGGGGCTCGAACCCATGAACTGCGAGATCATGACCTAAGCGAAAGTCGGACGCTTAACCGACTAAGCCACCCAGGCGCCCCTAATTTTAATTTTTTTTATCTTAGTTTATTTATTTTTTTTGAGAGAGAGTGAGCATGAGTGGGGGAGGGGCAGACGGGGGAGAGAGGAAATCCCAAGGAGGCACCACATTGTCAGCATAGAGCCCCATGTGGGGTCCGAAACTCACGAGATCAAGACCTGAGCCAAAATTAAGAGTTGGGTGCTTAACCGACTGAGCCACCCAGGTGCCCCGAAATGATCATCTTTTAACTTTTTGAGATTATTTCCTCCTGAAGAATTACCAGCTTCTGTTAGGTATTCATAATCTCTTCTTTTTCTTAATTCTGAAATCCTGAATCCTGTAAAAGCATATATTGTAAGGTACAGGTACACTTCAAAGACTGGCATTAAAATGATCACTTGTCCTATCTGCTACCCACCATAAGAAACAGAACTTGACCAAAGCTCGGAAGCACTTTGTGGGGCCAACCCCAGTTTCCTCCTTTTCTTTGGCCATCAGAGATAATAACTGTTGTCTGCTACCTTGTGTTCATCTTTCCCTTGCCTTTTTAAAAAAATGTTTATCTGAGTGAGAGAGAGAGAGAGAGAGAGAGAGAGAGAGAGAGACAGCGAGCAGGGGAGGGGCAGAGAGAGAGAGGGAGACCCAGAATCTGAAACAGGCTCCAGGCTCTGAGCTGTCAGCACAGAGCCCGATGCGATGTTTGAACCCACAAACCATGAGATCATGACCTGAGACGAAGTCAGATACTTGACAGAAGGAGCCACCCAGGTGCCCCCCACCTTGCTTAAAAAAACGTTTTCCCCATATATATTTCTATTTCCAAACATATATTATTTTGTTTTACGTGTTTTGGAAGCTTGTGTAAATTGCATCCCTTAAATTGCTTCTTGGTCCACACTGTATCCATATTGCAGACTGTAGTGGTTGCTTCCTCTTCTTGCATTATTGTGGAGGCTGCCCTGATAAAGGTAGAAACGTGCCAGCCTGTCTTCCTACTGTGGGCGATCGGGTTGCTAGTGTGAACGCTTTAGCTCCACGTACTCTTGTACGGATCGTCTATAGCACGTATGCCAGAGTCCCTCAAAGTAGAACTGCTTTGTCACAGAATATGTACATGTTTAATTTTACTAGGTAATAAATTAATTTCCCGAACGGTCAGCTAATGTGTACTCCTGCCAATGATGTTTTCAGATATTCTACTCGTCCATATTCTAACATTTGAGCATGATCGTTAGGTTGAAAACATTCATTTGGCTGATCTGGTGGGTATAAAATGGCCTGTGGTTGGCATCTCATTTTCCCAGATCATTAATGAATATGAGGATTGTGTTGCTGGACCACACTCATGGGAAACAGAGATCTTTGCCAATGTCCAACTTTGCTAATAACTTTAAAGATACAAGGGGTCAAAAAGTAAAAGGGAAGCTGATCCCAGAGGCTTGCAAGCCGTGGCTCAACTGGCCCAGTCCCTCCTGCACTGAACGCCGTGACTCCGGCCGAGAGGTGTGACCGAGCGTGCAGCCACCACACACACGGAGCCCTGACATGAATTATCCGTGTTTTACATCCCTGTGGTTCCGTAGCACGTGGGACACTTCCAGGAAACTGTGCCTCATAAATGCATAGACTAGGTTTATTTGCCACATGCAGAAATCAGAAATTGCCTGCAAAGAGCATTCTGTAGACACTCTGCACCTAGCCCCCGGCTCCAGAGGCGCCAGGCCTTCATGGTGCCCTTTGTATCTTAGTAGCTTTATCACATTGCCCCCTGCTCAGCAGGAGGCCCTAACAGTTCTGTCTGTGAATCAGGTTCAAACATGTTGGTGAGTATTCATGACCGAACAATTTAGTAGCTATTTGAGAAAACAATATTCAAATGAAAAAAATGTATATTTTTCTAAATTGAGGTATAATTGGGTCACCGGGCTGGCTCCATAGGAGGAGCATGGGACTCTTGATCTCAGGGTCATGAGTTCGAGCCCTACGTTGGGTGTGGAGATTACTTAAATAAATGAAACTTTTAAGTAAACAAAAATTAAGGTATAACCGACAGGTTTCAGCTGCACGTGATTTTCGATATGTACACATTGCAAAGTGGTCTCCACATCCAGCAGCGTGCAGAGTTACACTTGTTTTTTCTTGTGATGAGAAGTTTTAAGAATTACTCCATTACCAACTTTCAAATGTGCCATACTGTGTTGTTAACTTTGGATACTCACTATCTGTACATCATATCCTGATGACTTATTTATAACCGGAAGTTTGTACTTGCTGTACATTCTTTTTTTTTTTTATGTTTATTTATTTAGAGAGCGAGGGAGAGCATGCACATGAGCAGGGGAGGGAGAGAGAAAATTCCAAGCAGGCTCCATGCTGTCAGCACAGAGCCCGGTGCACTGCTTGATCCCATGAACTGTGAGATCGTGACAGCCAAAATGGAGAGTCACCAACCCAGCCACCCAGGCGGCCCCCCTTTTGACTAATACTTAAGTACAAATACTTATTAATGGGATGTGTTTCATCCTAAGCATCACATAACCTCGTAAACCTTGGAATTAGAGTGGACGCTGCCACCCCAACGGTTCTCTTATTCAACATTGATGTCTATGGTCCTTTTTATCACAGTCACCACCAAAAACCTCAGCTCTACAGACAGGACATGACTGAAAGGAATGAAGGGTGTTACAGTTCTGAGGCTGTGAACTGTAAGCAAGTAGTTGGCAGGGTGCATGACAGATGTCACGTATCACTGTTGCCCTAGGAACATATAAATATTCTTCCTAGCCCCGGGACAGCTTGGTGTGAAGCTTGGAAACTGCAGCATTAATGTGTTTATTTGGATCGTTCAGGTTCTTTGTAACTTTTTAAGTTTGCTTAGTTTGGGATCTTTTTATCTAGTACTCTATTTTACCAAAATGTTTAATGTTACTGGCCAAAATTATTCATAATATTCTTAAATTTTTAGTATTTTCTATATTTGTAGTTATAGCTGCACTGAATTCTGAGTAACATTTATGTCTTTAACTTGTTTATTTTTTGATCGGTCTTGCAAGAGTTGTATTAGTCTTCACATTTTGGCCTTGTTGATTCTTTTATATTTTTGCTTCTTGGGGCGCCTGGGTGCCTCAGTCAACCGATTAAGCATCTGACTCTTGATTTCATCTCAGGTCATGATCTCATGGTTTGTGACTTGGAGCCCCATGTCCAGCTCTGTGCTGACAGCATGGAGCCTGCTCCAAAATAAACATTTAAATTTTTGCTTACTTCCTGCCTTTTATTTTATTACGGTTTATTCTATTGTTCATTTCCCAAGTTAGTTACTTATTGGTCTTTAGCCATTCTTTTATGTAAATAATCTTTTTCTAAAGTATATTTTAGCTCTATTTCACATATTTTAATACATATTTTCAGTTCTGTTCAGTTCTATTTTCTAATTTCTATTAGGATTTTTCTTTGAGTAATTGGTTTTTTAGAAATATTTTTCTTTTCCAAGGTAAAGGTATCTATTAGCTATTTTTCTTTTTAAAATTAATTTATTTTTTAATTTACATCCAAGTTAGTTAGCATATAGTGCAACAATGATTTCAGGAGTAGATTCCTTAATGCCCCTTTCCCGTTTAGCCCATCCCCCCATCTATAACCCCTCCAGTAAGCCTCTGTTCTCCATATTTAAGAGTCTCTTATGTTTTGTCCCCCTCACTATTTTAACATTATTTTTGCTTCCCTTCCCTTAGTTTCATTTGTTCTGTGTCTTAAAGTCCTCCTATGAGTGAAGTCATAGGATATTCGTCTTTCTCTGACTAATTTCTCGTAGCTTAATACCGCCCAGGTCCATCCACGTAGTTGTAAATGGCAAGATTTCATTCTTTTTGATTGCCAAGTAACACTCCATTGTGTATATGCCACATCTTCTTTATCCATTCATCCATCATTGGACATTTGGGCTCTTTCCATACTTTGGCTGTTGTTGATACTGCTGCTATAAACATTGGGGCACATGTGCCCCTTTGAAATAGCACACCTGTATCCCTTGGATACTCTATTAGCTACTTTTCTAATATTTATTTCGTTACAGTTTGCTTTGTGGTCAGAGATGTGTTGTATGAATACAATTGAATGAAAAAATTCCGTGAAATTGACATGGTACCTGGCATAGTTAGTTTTTATAATTGTTTTGTGTTTAAGTTTGTTTAGAGAGACAGCATGTGGGAGGTAGAGAGAGAGGGAGAGACAGAATCCCAAGCAGGCTCCACACTGGACAGCACAGAGCCCAGCGTGGGACTAGAACTCATGAACCATGAGATCATGACCTGAGCCAAATCCAAGAGTTGGACACTTAATCAACTGGGCCACCCACGTGCCCCTATAATTGTTTTATATGTGATTGTAAAGAACTCCCAGTTATCTGAAACAATATTCATATAGCCTGTTACACTTGGTAATTGCTTTTTAATTTGTCATTCGAAATTTCTATATCCTTTTTGAACTTTTGTGATTGTTTGTATCAAATACTAAAAGAATGTTTTTTAAAATCTTGATTTCTGAGAGAAGACTTGTTTATCCTTGGAGTCTCATCAGTTTTGCTCATGCATTTTGAAGCTGTTTTATTTGGTGGGCACAGGCTGGGAAATTAGGTCTTTCTGGAAGACCTTTTGTCAATTTATATATAATTTTTCTTCCCCTAAAGTCCATTTTGTGTGCTCTTTTTGACAACCAGTTTTCTTTCATTGGTGTATATTTATTTCGATCCTTTGCCTTTTAACCTTGTCTGCATCCTTAAGTCTTAGGCACATCTCTGGGAAGCAGCACAACACAGTAACTCTTCTTCCTTTCTGGTTTTCTCAATATAAAGGATTTTGGTGGATCTGAAAAATGAAGTTTGGTATCAAAAATGTCATGACCCTGTATGTAAAGCAGAAAACTTCAAATCAGACTGTGAGTTGTTAAGTTTTACATTTACACCAAGTGAAAATTGGACATCGATATACAATAGTTTTACTGTTTTTCTTGTTCAGGTTTTCCTTTACCTGCTGAAGTTGGTCTCCTGTTTCTGCTCAAGGAGGTAAGTGCAGTTTTTAGTTTCTTTCTCATTACTAATCAGTTCTTGGCACAACATATCAGTGAGCTACGAGTAGTGTCTAGATGTGTCCACGTCGCTTTTAAACACGCTCTTCAGTACTTAGGAGTGTTGCGTAGTGATCGTGCCGTGTGAGCACGTGCCTGGCAGGATGCACCGCACTGTCACTGCCGCGTAAGGAATTGTATAGATGGTAGTTAACCGCTGCCAGACAGCTAACCAGTTTCTCATTTGTTGCTTTACAAAGTATACCCAAACCCTCATCTTTGTATTTCTTTAAACAACTCTATCCATAGGGAGAATTTCTATTAGTAGAATTATGTCAGAGGGTGTATACATTTGTAATTTTGGTAGATATTACTAGATTGCCAAATTAACATTTTCTCCTTTTAAAACCTTTTATTTACCCAAATAATTCACATTCATTGTGAGAAAAAAATTAGAGAATAGATGAAAAGTTAAAGGGGATAAACTCCCCCTCACATATAATTTGACCCCTTGGAGGTAACAGATGTAAGTGCTTTGGCATAGATTTCCAGAATTTCTATTTATGTGTGCTCATGGATGTATTTTTAAAGTCCTGGTACACACACCATGTCAGAGGCTTTTTCCCTACTTCAGCTCTACAGATGTTTTCAGTTTTACACGTTACCAGTTGGTACCAATAAAAATGATACAAAATTGGCTTCACAATTTAAGAGAGCACCTGTTTACCTTACACTTTTGCCAACATGGTTTATTTTCACCTTTTATCTTTACTAACCTATTTGGCCAAAAGTGGTATTTCAGTTGTTTTTATTTACATTTCTTAGTGTCTTTAGGAAGTTGAACTTCTTTCAGATTTACTGTTTGTATTTCTATTATCAAGTGTTGGTAACTGTCCTCTGTCGACTTTCCTATGAGGTCTTACTGATATTTTATAAGAACTTTTTACTAAGTAACTCTTCAGTCGTGTTATTTTCTAGACTGAAAATTTTAGTGTTTCTCGGTCTCATCTGTCAGCCTTTTCCTTTACAGTGTTCTGCTTAGAATAACAGTTACCTGCTCCAAGCTGAATATGTGCTTTGGTTTATATCCTAGGCAATGTTTGGTACCTATTTGATTTGACTAAAAAAAAAGTCTCCAGAAAAAAAATTCATATGTCCAAGATTGAAATGGTCAGAGCTGGGCCAGAACAGCTGATAGCCAGATTCTCTGGCAAACTGCAAGGTTAAAAAAAGTGTTTTTGAAATAACCAAGAGAAAGTTACACTTTTAAACGTAAACCTTACCTCCAAGAGGAGGAGGTATATGTCATTTTTGTTTGTTTGGAGGGTTATTTTGATGCATGCTTGTAGTTTCAGTGGATTCTTAAAAACTACCTTTTCTGCTTATCCAGTAATACATCAAAAATGCCAAGTTGAAAGTTTTTTGGTACATAGTATTATCACTGCTTGTAAAGAACATTTTTTTAATTATTTAAAATAAAAAGCTTAATAAAAGAGCAGAATAATGAATACCCATGTATCTATGTACCTATCACTTAGTTTTAATATTTTGACATTTCTGCTTCCTGTGTTTTGTTGTTGTTGTTTTTTGTTTTTTTGCTTTCAGCATTTTAATGTTTGTTTGAGAGTAGCGGGGGGTGGGGGGGAAGAGGATCCCAAGCAGGCTCCATGTTGTCAGCGGGACAGCCCCCGGTGTGCAGCTTAATCCCACAAACTGAGATCTTGACCTGAGCCGAAATCCAGAGTCAGGTGCTTAACTGACTGAGCCAGGTGCTCTGCTTTTAGTATTAAAAAAATTTTTTTTAATTTATTTTTGAGAGAGAGAGAGGACAAGCAGGGGAGAGGCAGAGATCTATAAGCATGTTGTACAAAGACAACAAACTCTCCCTTCACCTAGAATTGCCCTTGTTAACATTGGCCACATTTGTATTTCTCCCTCTACTGTACACATACACATTATTATTTTTGATGGATTTTGTCTTAGTCATTTCAGGATACTATAAAGAGTACCACAGACTGGGTGGCTTTTGTTTTTTAGTTATTAGTTTTGAGAGTGCAGGTAGGGAGGGGCAGAGAGAAAGAGACTCCCAAGCAGGCACTGCACTGACAGCAGAGCTCAACACGGGGCTCGAGCTCACAAAACCGTGAGATCGCGACCTGAGCCGAAACCAAGAGTTGGACACTTAACTACCTGAGCCACCCAGGCGCCCCTGGCTGGATGGCTTATAAACAACAGAAGTTTATTTCTCACAGTTCTCGAGGCTTGGAAGTCTAAGGTCAAGACACTCACGGGTGTCTGTCTGGCTTCCTGGGTGCTAGAGAGCCACCTTCTTGCTGAATCCTTGCGGGAGATCAGCTTAAGAATTAATTCTCTGAGCTTGCACCAATGTGTTGACAAGGCTTAGGGTGGAAAGTCGCTTCCACAGGACCAGAACAGGTAGAGGCGGGAAGCTCCCAGGGCTAATTAGTGAGAAAAATGCCTTGTTAACCCTGAGGTAGCATGCTCTATCTGTCTTAGCCCCTAGAAAGGTTAAGATAAACAGCTATGGTGCCTGGCGCCTGCAGTAAACGGCTGTCTGCTCAGCGCCGAGATTCTGATTTGTCTTGACCCTAACCCCTAACACCGCATATCTTCAAAAACCCCTTTTCTCTCTTACACGTTAATGGTTACTGTTTTATTGTTTCTTTCTGCATGTCTATCACATATGTGAGCCTTCTGATCCCAATAAATACAGAACAAGGACCCTTACTCTGGGCTCTTGTCTCCTCCTGGACATTAGCCTCTCTCATATTCAATTCTGCATCTGCTCTTGTTGGACAAGAGAAAACTCCAGACTCAAAGTCTGCAACAAGTCATTGCGTGTCAGAGGGATGAAAGAGCTCGCTGGGGTTCCTTTTGTAAGGTTACTAATCCCAGTCACGAGGGCTGCACACTCATGCTAACCACCTCCCAAAGCCCTCCGTCCTAATACCATGACATTGGGGGGTAGGATTTCAACTTATGAATTTCGGGTAACTGTCTATAACAGATCTCTTGAAGGGAAGCTGCAGTCATCAAAACGCTGTATTTCTTCATTTAAGCATATTACTAGAAAATATGGATATTCTTAAACATGGTAAAAATTTTTAACCCAGGAAATGTAGATAACAATACTACTAATACGTAAATCTATAGTCCTATCTTGAGTTGTCTCAACTACTTAACAGCAATTTTTAAAATTCATGTTCCTAATTCTGAAAATTCTTTATAAATAGGATAATAAGACTTCTAAGTCTTTTAAGATAGTAGGTATATTTTCTAATTTGGCTTCAGTTGGACTGTCTTCTTTTTAAAAAATTCCATCTACCGCTGCTCCAGCCCCATCTGTGAATACTGAAAAGAATGTACCAGAGGCACTGTGGGCATTTCCAGATTTAGAGTTTTAAGTGTCTTAGTGGCAGCAACATTTGAATTAATGAACTCATTCCCATGGTGACTGTGTTGAAGACCATATCATTTAGCATATTTATTTTAGTATCTGTTCAAGAACTGGTTTTATACTTAGTACCTTAACATAGATCGACTCTCTAGTGAAACTGTCACATATTCTCATTGAGTAGCCTGTATTTTCTTCCTATCTTACTCTCCCTTATTTTCCCCATTTGAACAAAAGGAAGAAGAGTTCACAGCTGCTGAAACAATGACCAGTGAAACCGAGAATCTTCATAAACCACCATCTAGTACATCATCAAAAGGTGTAGTTTCTGCTGACTGGGATAATGGCCTTGATGATACTTACCTTTTGGAAGCTACTGAGGATGCTGAATTAGCAGAAGCTGCAGAGAATGGTCTTCTCAGTTACTATAGTGGAGTGGATGAAATTCCTGATGAACTAATTATGCAAGTATTGCAAGAGTAATTAACTGTGGACTGGTATATAACTAGGCTGTAATTTTGCCTGAAGACGGTTTAATAACATAAATATATTAAATTATGGTAGCTTTTTATTAAACCTGTTTATATCAACTAAGCTTTATCACTCTGCATCTCAATTCTTGTTTTTTACTGATGTAAGCCAGTTTTATTGAAAATTGGCTTAGAAATCTTAAGTGACTGACCAGAGTTGGTATATGTTCATATCAGCTTAATTCTGCATGTTTATTTATAGGTTAAATATCTTATTTAAAAAATTTTTAATTGAAGTATCATTGACATACAGTATATCCTATTTAGGTATCCTCATGACTTTTTTTTTTAAGTTTATTTATTTTGAGACAGAGAGAGTCGGGGAGGGGCAGAGAAAGAAAGAGTGAATCCCAAGCAGGCACCGTGCTGTTAGCACAGAGCCCAGTGTGCGACTGGATCCCACGAACCAGGAGATCATGACCTGAGACAAGGTCACGAGTCAGATACTCAACGACTGAACCAACCAGGCATCTCCCCATGACTTATTTCATACCTGGAAGTTTGCACCTCTTCGTCTTCTTCACCTATTTCAGCCACCACCCTGTTCCTCTGGTAACCAACAATTTCTTGTATCTAGGAGTCTGTTTCTGCTTTATTTTTAGATTCCACATATAAGTGAAATCATACAGAATTTTGTCTTATTTCACTTAGCATAATATTCTCTAGTTCCAACCATGTTGTTACAAATCGCAAGTTTTTATTCTTTTTTATGACCAGTATTTCAGTTTGTGTGTATATATACTTCATTTTCTTTATTCATCTATTAGTGGACGCTTAGGTTGCTTCCATATCTTGGCTGTTATAGTTAATGCTCCAATAAATGTAGGTACATACATTCTTTTGAATTAGTGTTTTCACTTTCTTCAGGTAAATACCCAGAGGTGGAATTATTGTATCATATGCTATTTCTATCTTTAATTTTTTGAGGAACCTCCATGCCATTTTCTACAGTGGCCACACCAATTTAACGTTCCCACCAACAGTGCATGCGGGTTCCTTTCCTCTACATCCTCTCCAACACTTGTTATTTATCTTTTTCAGAATAGCAATCTGATGGGTGTGACGTAATACTCATTGTGGTTTTGATTTGCACTTCTCTAACGACTAGTGTGATACTGAGCCATCTTTTTATGTGTCTGTTGTCTATGAATATCTTCTTTGGAAAAATGTTTATTCAAGTTCTCTGCCCACTCAAAAAAGTTTTTATATTAAGTTGTGTCAGTTTTTTATATGTTTTGGATATTTTTTAAAGTTTTTTAATGTTTTTATTTCTGAGAGAGACAGACCGCATGAGCAAGGGAGGATCAGAGAGAGAGGGAGACACAGAATCTGAAATGGCTCCAGGCTCTGAGTTAACTGTCAGCACCGAGCCTGACGTGGGGCTCGAACCTGAGCCAAAGTCAGATGCCCAACTGACTGAGCCACCCAGGCGCCCCATATTTTGGATATTAATCCCTTATTGTACGATATGTGACTCACAGAGATCTTCTCCATTTCAGTAGGTTGCCTTTTCATTTTGTTGTTTGCTTTTGAGTTGGATATAATCCTACTTGTTTATTTTAAAGACTTTGTTGCCCTTGCCTAAAGAGACTATTTCAAAAATATTCCTAAGGCTGATGTCACAGAGCCAACTGCCAATGTTTTCTTCTGGGACTTTTATGGTTTCACATCTTACCTTCAAGTCTTTAATCTGTTTTGAATTTTTCTACATGGTGTAAGATAGTGGTCTAGCTTCATTCTCTTGCATGTAGCTGTCCAGTTTTCCCAGCACCATTTATTGAAGATACTATCTTTTCTACATTGGTATATTGTTGCCTCCTTTGTCATAGATTAATAGACCACATATGTATGGGTCATTTTCTGAGCAATTTCGTTGATCTATGTCTCTCTTTCTGTGCAATTACCATACTGTCTTGATTACTACAGCTTTTGAAGTACAGTTTGAAATCAGGGAGCATGACCCCTTCAGCTTTGTTCTTTCGTCTGAAGACTGCTTTGGCTATTTAAGGTTTTTTTTATGGTTCCATACAAATTTTTAGGATTTTTTGTTTTAGTTCTGTGAAAATGCCATTGGCATGTTGATAGGGATTGCACTGCATATGTAGATGGCTTTGGGTACTATGTACATTTTACTTCTCCTAGTCTATGATCACAGGGTATTTTTCCATTTATTTGTGTCCTCTTTAACTTCTTTCATCGGTATCTCAATGTCTTTTGCCTTAAATTTATTTCCAGGTATTTTATTCTTTTTGATGCAATTATAAATGGGATTGGTAATTTCTGAAAGCTCAGTAATAGTGCAGAGAAACACAACCGATTTCCGTATGTTAATTTTGTATCCTGCAACTCTACTGAATTCATTTATTCAAACAGTTTTTTTGGTAGAGTCTTAAGGGTTTTCTTTAGGTAGCATTAGGTCATCTGCAGATAGTGACAGTTCTTCTTCTTCCTTTCCAACTTGGATGCCTTCTACTTTTTCATGCCTAACTGTTGTGGCTAGGACTTCTAATACTATGTTGAGCAAAAGGTGAGAGTGGGTGTCCTGGTCTTGTTCCTGATGTTGGAGGAAAAGCTTTTCGCATTTCACTGTGTCATATATAGCTTTTCTCATGTTGAGGTATGTTCCTTGAAGTATGTTGAGGATGTCAAATTTTGTCAAATGCTTTTTTGGCATCTGTTGAAATGATCATGATTTTTATCTTTTGTTCATATGGTGTATCATGTTGATTTGACTTGGAGACATTGAACCATCCTTGCATCCCTAAAATAAAACCCATTTGATCGTTGTATATGGTCCTTTTAATACATTCTTAAATTTGGTTTGATATTTTGTTGAAGACTTTTGTATCTATGTTCATGAGGTAAGTGGGCTTATAATTTTCTTTTTTTGTGGGGTCTTTGGTTTTGGTTCTCAGTTATGCTGGCCTCCTAAAATGAATTTGGAAGCATGTCTTCAAGTTTTTGGAATAATTTGAGAAGAACAGGTACTACCTCTTTAAATGTTTGGTAGAATTCACCTGTGAACCCACCTGGTCTTGGACTTTTCTAGGGGGAGTTGTTAAGTTACTGATTCAGTTTCATTATTTGTATTTGATATATTCAGATTTTCTATTTCTTAGTGATTGAGTCCTAGAAGATTGTGTATTCTAGGAATTTGTTGTCCAATTTGTTGGTGTGTAATTGTTCCTAGTTATGAGGCTGAATTTCTGTGATGTCAGTTGCACTCTCTCCTCTTCCATTTATGACTATTCATTTGGGCCCTCTCTTTCTCTCAATGAGTCTGGCTAGAGATTTTTTTTTTTTTTAATATTTAATTTTACATTTGTTTATTTTTGAAAGAGCACAAGTCGGGGAGGGCCAGAGAGATGAGCAGACAAAGAATCAGAAGCAGGCTCCAAGCTCTTGAGCTGTCAGCAGGGAGCCCGATGCGGGGCTCAAACTCCACAAACTGTGAGATCATGACCTGAGGGGAAATCGGACGCTTAACTGACTGAGCCACCCTGGCGCCCCAAGATTGATTTTTATCTTTTATTTATTTATTTATTTATTTTATTTTTTTTTTAAATATTTTTATTTATTTCTAGGGGGGAGAGAGAGAGAGACAGCATGAGCAAGGGAGGGTCAGAGAGAGAGGGAGACACAGACTCTGAAATAGGCTCCAGGCTCTGAGCTGGCAGTCAGCACAGAGCCCGACGCGGGGCTCGAACCCACGAACCGCGAGATCATGACCTAAGCGAAAGTCGGACGCTTAACCGACTAAGCCACCCAGGCGCCCCGATTTTTATCTTTTAAAATAACCAGTTTTCAGTTTCACTGATCTTTCTTAAATGGTTTTTTTTTTTTTTTAAAGTCTCTGTTTCATTTATTTTTCCTCTGCTCTTTATTATTTCCTTCTGCTAACTTTGGGATTTGCTTGGTCTTTTTCTAGTTCCTTTAGGTATAAAGTTCGATTATTTGGGAGTTTTGTTTCTGGAGGTAGGCGTGTATCCGTATGAAATTCCCTCTTAGAACTGCTTTTGCTGTGTCCCCAGACTTGTGGAAAGTTGCTTCCATTTACATTGTCTCATGGGATTTTAAAATTTCCTCTTTGATTCCTTCATTGACCCATTAGTTCAGTAGCATACTGTTTATTCCCCACGTCTGTATTTTTTCAAGTTTTCTTTTTGTAACTGATTTCTTGCTTTATACTGTTGTAATCAGAGAAGATGCTGAATAGGATTTGTTTGCCTGAATTTGAGAAGTGATCTTTCTTGGAGAATACTCCATGTGCACTTGAAAAGAATGTGTGTTCTACAGTTTTGCAATGAAATGTTCCGTATATATTAATAATCTGGCTTAATGTGTTAAGGCCAGTGTTTCCCTATTGATTTTCTGATGATTAATCCATTAATTTTTCTATTTATTTTTAGGAGAGAGAGAGACAGCGTGAGCAGGGCAGTGTTAGAGAGAGAGGGAGATACAGACTCTGAAATAGGCTCCAGGCTCTGAGCTGGCGGTCAGCACAGAGCCCAACGCGGGGCTCGAACCCACGAACCGCGAGATCATGACCTAAGCGAAAGTCGGACGCTCAACCGACTAAGCCACCCAGGCGCCCCTGTTAACATCTGTTTTCTGTGTTTAGGTGCTTCTGTGTTGGGTACATAGATGTTTGTAAATGTTATATATCCTCTTCTTATATTGACCCTTAATCATAATGTAATGCCTTTCCGCGTCTTTTGTTAAAGTCTGTTTTAAAGTCCATTTTAGTTAACAGGAGTAGCACTTTTCATTCCCTTTGCATGTAATATCTTCTTCCATCCCTTCACTTCTAGTGTGTGTTTAGGTCTGAAGCATAGGAAGCACAGAGATGGGTCATTTCTTGGATCTGCTTAGCTACACTGTGTCGTAGGACTGGAGCATTAGTCCATTTACATTTAGTCATCGATAGGTATGTACTTCTTGCCATTTTGTTAATCATTTTCTGGTTGTTTTTGTAGTTGTTCCTTTTTTCTCCTGATCTCTTCCCTTGTGGTTTGATGGTTTTCTTTAGTGTTTGGGTTGCTTTCACTTTGTCTTACTTGAGGTTTTTGGTTTGTGGTTACCATGAGGTTCATTATATATTGATCTACATATGTAGCAGTCTATTTTAAATTTTCCTTGTTTATTTTTGTGAGAGAGATAAAGAGTATTGGGGCCGGGGGGGGGGGGGGGGGGGGGGGGGGGGGGGGGAGACACAGGATCCAAAGTAGGCTCAGTGCTGACAGTTCAGATACAATTCAGGTCATGATCTCGCGGGCAGGGCTTGAACTCATGAACCGCAAGATCATGACCTAAGCTGCTGAGTCTGAGCAGACAGCTGGGTGTTGAATCAGTCTGTGTGTTGAATCACCTGAGCTAGCCAGGTGCCCCTACCGCCGTCTAGTTTTGAATGACAGTCACTTAGAGTCTTGGTCGGGGAGCTGGGGCAGTGGGCACAGGCCCGAGGGTCCTGGGGCATCCTGTTGCATGTGGTGCCCAGGCGGGGCTGCCATGGGCTGAGGGCCTGGGCTCTGTTCCTGTCGGCCCCTTTGGCCCCAGAGAGTTCTAGCAGCTCCCCAGCAGATTGGCAGATGTGCTAAGGCAATAAATGGGTTTCCTTCGTTTATAGTACATTTGTCCTTTGAAGCGATGATGGTTTTTTTTGGCTGTGCCCCAAGATGGGCGAGTCTGCATGTAGGCCTCGTGCTCCCCTCTGCTGGCCATCACTCGGTGGGAGGGGACCCCTCTATCATCCGTGCAGAAGCTGTGCAGGAAGTGCAAACGCTGGGCAGGAGGGGGTTCAGGGTCTTGGCCGCCCTCTTAGAACACCTCCCTCTGGCTACTGAGGGCAGAGCTCTTTTATGTCCACCTCTGCTTATGTTCAACATTTTAAGACATTAGCCTGAGACTTAGGGCCTCTAAAACTACTTAGACAAACTGTTCCTACTCACTGTGGTCAAACTGACTATGAACAAAATACTAAATTTGGTGACAAAGCAGCCCGAACAAGTTGGCAAATTACCTTTTCAGAGAGTTTTTATTTACAAAAGCGTGAACTGGACGACAGCAGGCTGCAGCAGGAGACTAGTCTATATATCTGGTACTTTCGGACCTGGCCTCAGCTCTGGGCAAGGAGCTTCTCTAACTGATGGTTGAGGTCTTGCAGATGGTTCTCGGCTCCTAAAAGCGTTCTCGCTTGGACTAACAGAGCTGGAAGGCTGGAGGAATCATACTGTCAAAGGCAAATGATTTGGATTAAGTATAAGAAACAGTGTATTACACAGCTCCATGCTGAGGAGAGCTTTCCACTCCCTGCTTTCATTTTTCAAACTAGGACCATTAAGAAAACTTGCCTAAATCCTTTTCCTTTGGGCATAATTACTAAGGTTACAAGAAACCTGATCTAGAAAGCTTAGGCTGATCTCATCCCAGAACTGTGGCATCTAAATCATGTGAAACAAAATCATTGCCTGGTACAGATCGAGACTGAGTTAGGGCAAGTCAGCCTGATCTCATGCCTATTTTAAACCCAGAAACCTGTAAGGCACATGGGCTTTTAATTCCATTAGTTCTTGCAGGTAAATACCAGGCCCATAAAATTTCATGAAGGAAAAATTAATCATCTAGAAAAACTAAAGACAAAATTAGAAAACAAACCCAACATAAACTCAACTCATGATTTTGAAATGATAAAGCCAGGCTCCATGTTGTAACTTCTATCGAAGGAGCAGTGACTGAAGTCTCTTCTTCCAGTCTGTCATACTTGTGACAGTTTGTTTAAAATCATGTTTTTGGGGTGCCTCAGTCAGTTACCGTCCAGCTTTGGCTCAGGTCATGATCTCACGATTTGTGAGTTCAAGCCACGTATCCGGCTCTGTGCTGACAGCTCAGAGCCTGGAGCCTGCTTCTGATTCTGTGTCTCCCTCTCTCTCAAAAAATAAAAATACATTTTCAAGGGGTTTTTCTTAATAATGAGAAGAGCAGTGTTGAGCAGAAAAGCCGTCAGACTATTGCTACTACCTGCATAATAACGCAGTTGTTTCTAGACTATACCTTACAGCCGTGGAATTCAGTTTCACAGATATTTGAGAGCCTGCTGCATTCAAGTTACCGTGGGGCACTTGCTCTCAAGGAGGTTAGCAAGGCAAGAACTAATATTTGGTGTTAGATTTCTGATTTAGGAAAAGAAGTAGGACATATAAACCAAATATCTACTTTCTGTAAAGGAAAACAGATGCAAGGGTACAGAGGGCCCGCGGGCAGGCACAGGACGTGTTAGTACCAGTTGTATATTCCAGACAAATTATAGTCACCACATGTTGTCACCACTTACGTTCAAATTCAGTTGGTGCCAAGTTAGTAACCAAATCCCCAGCTCTAAGGAAGCTTTGGACCAGGTGTGAGCAGTCACAGAAAACAGTAATTGCAAAGAATTCCTTGTCCATATTTGGTGTAAAAAACTAAGTGACGTCTAGTGTTGGTCTGAAGGCAGACTAATTGTCACATCTACCTTTCTTCTCAAAGCTGCTCATCCTCCAACAGGCAAATGCCCTCTCTCAATCACAGCGAAAAATAAAAATTGAAGTTACCGTTTCTTTTACATTTGGTTCTTTCTCTCGAATATCTGAATAATCTTGATGAAGCTGTTTTAAGTTAGATAAGAAACACGCTGCATTCCTAAGGGAAGATTTTTTCTCCTCAAGCTCGTCGTATTTTATTTGTAGCTGTTTCATCTGTGGCTCTAACCTACAACAGAAAATTTCCCCACATATGAATGGCATGTAATAAAGTGTAACAGCCTAGCGTGTAAGACTGAGGACACAGGTAGACTGAGCGAGGTAAGACCATGCTGGGGGGAGGAGGGGGCCTAGATCATTAAAGATAGCTTCAGTTCTGAAGTTATAAATGTGGGACAGAGTCTAGATTTCAATTTAAAATACAGATAAAACCCAAATACACTACACAAGAGTGGGAAATGACATCCACAGGAGAAAAGGTCTTCTAGATCCTAAAACCTATCCAATCGCTTTGTTGGGAACTACTGAATTAAGACACAGCTTGTAACACGTCCCAGCCTCGGGTGGGAGCAGACGGGCAGCGCAGGTCAACAGCAGGGACAAAGACCATCCCTTTGCCCCTTCTTCTCCTCACAGCCGTGTCCAAGGTCCAGTAAAAGCAGCTGGATGAAAAGGGCGTGGGTAAACTACCTTCGCTCTGTGTCTTACTTCTTAACCTCTAAAGCAAAAAGGGATAACTTGGATTTTACGAACAAATAAGCGGGGAGGGAGGCTGCTGATTTTTTATCTCAAAGATGAAAAGACTTCTAAAAGTATATTAGAGGAGGGTTCCTTTTCCCAGTGGTGTCCGTTGAACAGACGCAGGGCTGTGGGCAGGAGGCAGTCCGCACACGGGGGCTCCTGGCCCCTGACTTCCTGGGGGCGGGACTGGGGTAGGTTTCCTCCCTAGGCAGGGGGGGCTTTCCACATGTTAAGTTAAAATAATGACTTCTAGAATTGTCTCTAGAAAAGGAACCCAAGCAGCTGGTCTTTAAGGTGTGTGATCTTCTCACACGGCCGGGAGCCCCCCTCACAGGAGGGCGGGGACGAGCTAACACGTAACACACGGAGGACAGTGCCCAGCACACAGCAAGCCTGGTTACGTGCTATTTTCTTTGGGCCTGAGCCAGCGGGAGCTCTGCCGAGGGCCAGCACCTGCCCAGACTGGAGGGGGAGGCCAGCGAGGCAGACACCCAGTCCCACCCTCTCCCAGACGGCTCACGTTCTCTCCTTTGAAAACTTAGTACTATAGGGTAGACCGTCTTTTCTGATAATACCACTTCCTTACTCTATTTTAAAACTCCTATGAAGAACAGATAGTATATTCAACTGCCCATCTTCCCACTGCTCTCCCATAGCCTGCGGCTGGCACGACAGCCCCGCCACACAGACGACCACCCCCGACCGCCAGCTGGTTGGCTGACGGAGGCAGCAAACCCCAGGCTTCGTACCCAGCTGTGGGGACAGCCCTGGCTGTGATCCCAGCCCCACGCACAGAAACGGGCTCACAAGAGCGCCATGCCAGCAATAACACGAACACAAGCTGCTAACACACGGCGCTTACTGGAGGCCGGCCACGGTGAGGCACTCTGTGTCTGGCTGTCCACTGAATTCTCTCAACACCCCGGGAGGGGTGGGTATGGTGCTCGTTGACGGGGGAGGCGCGAACCACCGGCAGGTGAAGGGGCTGCCCAAGGTCGCACAGCCAGTAAGTGGCAGAGCCTGGATCCGAACCCAGGCAGTCTTGTGCCAGAGCCTAAGCGCTGCATCTGTATGTAATCGGGCCGCCTCTCAGGTCAGAGCTGGGAGATCTGATGGCAGATCAGAACTAAACTGTCCTTGGCTAAAAGCTTTAACTCAGCCATATAACCTGCCTTCACTGAGCTTCTGGACATGAAGAAAACCTGGGATTTAAAGGTAACACAGCAGATTTTCAGAGCGTCGCGTGACGTACTGTGACTCAATCCCTCCAGCTACGTTCTCAGAGGACTCTGACGTGACCTTACCGAAGCAGTTCATCCTGGAGTTCCAGCAAGCGCTGCCTTTTCTTCTCCGTATCTGAAAAAATCTAAAGTAATACAATAATCTGTGAAAATAACTCCCTAAACGTTTGAGCACCGCTACGTACACTGTACCAGGTTCTAGAAAAACCGTGGGAAAGAGACTGTACTCTCCCCATCACGGAGCTTCGGTCTAAGGGGAAGACAGACACGACATATGAACAGTAGGTAACTACCACCTGTCATACATGCTGTGAAGGAAAAGAACAGGGAGCAGGTGTCTACCCCAGGACAACTCTGAGGAGGAAGGAGGGGTCAAAGCTCTACTAGCCCGTGAGCTACTGAGTGAGGAGTCTGGATTTGACATTTTCCTGGGAGCGCCAGGAAAATGCCCCAACAGCGGAGTGTCCTGATCAACCTGTATTGAAAAAACAGTTCCATATAAGAAGTTCTCTCAGCTGTCACTTTCAGTGACTACCAGCTATACAGCCAGACCATCCCCGCGGGCTCAGAAGCAACGTGGAGGGGACCAGGAAGAAACTAGAACTGAAGAAGAAAAAAACCAGCAAAGGCCTGTACTCCCTGAAAGGAAAATCTACATTTCAAGTTCGTTTCTCTTAGAAACGTACAGGAAGCTGCTCTTCAGTCCTGGATTCATGCAGGCTTAGAGCTCGGAGGTCATCTGGTCCACCTGCAAACTGGCGTCCAGGGGCTCGTTTCTCCTCACACACCTAGCGCTAATCTCTAAGAAGGTGCTACAACATCGAGATAGTAGAGCCAAGACCAGATCTGAGGTCTAACCTTTACTGCAGCACTGCCCAGGCTGTCCCTTTACTTGGGACATGGGACAGTTCTTTAATAACTAGTAACAACTTAATACAGGGTAAGTGGTCATTTTGGGCTTGGTGGCCACTTTAGGCTAGTTAGGGTCCCCATCCCTTAGCACGCGTTATAACAGTCCTCCACCACAAGATCAACTGAATACAAGCCGGGCTAAAAGATGTATCTACAAACCAAAGATCATAAAATCGAATCACAGCTTTTCTTATCCCTGCACGTGCTAGAGATTCTACGTGAGCATATGCTTCTATTCACACAAGGGATAATACCTTTGTGTTCTTCCTTTTCAGAGTTTTCAACATCTGCATGTCCTTAAGCTGCAAAAGAAAAAATATTCATGTGTTTTCCAAAATTCACATGTTTATTAACTTACAATACATCACATTTAAAGACCACATGTGAATCACAGATAGTTTGATGGAGTTCTTTACCACACTGCAATCTTTTCTAAGACCGTGTATGCTGTCCCACGATTAGCAAAAACTACTCAGGCCCACAAATTTATGTCCATGGGCTTACCATTTTGAGGAGTTCTTCTTTCACATTAGAATGAAATTTTTTGATGGCTTCCTTACAGATTTTAGAATCTGAGTTTTCTCTGTAGCAGGAGGAAAAAAGGATCACACTAGGCATCATACAAAGGCTCTTGAAAGGTGTGTTTCATTTGCTTAGCACACCACAAACCACGATTGGGCACACCCCACAGGAAGGGCAAAGGATGGGAATACTTTTCCAAAAAAAGAAGTACATAAATGGCAAACAAGCATATAAAAAGGTGCTCAACATCACTAATCATCAGGGAAATGTGAGTCAAAACCACAGTGAGATATCCCCTCACGTACATTAGGTGGCCACAAGTAAGAGATGAGTGCTGGTGAGAAGGCAGAGAAACTGGAACACTGCACTGTGGGTTGGATTGTAAAATAGTGCAGCCAGGGTAGAAGTCAGGAAGGAGCCTCTCAAAAAATATAAACAGAATTACCCTATGACCCAGCAGTCCCACTTCTGGGGACATCTCCAAAAGAACCACAAACAGGATCTTAAAGAGGTATTTGCACACCCATGTTCATTTCAGCATTATTCACAACAGTCAAGAGGCAGACGGATGAATGGATAAAGGAAATGTGCAATATACATACAATGAAAGATTAGCCCTAAAAAATAAGGAAATCCCGTTATGTGCTACAACACGGATAAGCTTTGGGAACATTAGGCTATGTGAAACCAGCCTGTCACAAAAAGGAAAATATTGCGTGATTCCCCTTATTGAATGTAGTTCCGCTTAGAAACAGAAAGTAGAATGATGGCTGCTAGGGGGTGCCGAGAGGAGGAAATGGGAGATTGTTTAATGGGTATAGACTTTTCAGTTTTTCAAGAGGAAAAAGCTCTGGATATTTGCTGCACAACAATATGAATATACTTAACTGAATTATACACTTAAAAATGGTTAAGATGGGATATTTTATAATTTAAAAATCTACCAGCTCCGTTTAAAAAAAGTATTTCTAATATAAATATGAAATCATTATCTTAAGATGTTAAAACCATATAAAAAAATTAGAAAAACTGTTTAGGCCTTACTGCATATGGCTTATAATGTTGATAAATTGGTAGACTGTACCAACCAAAATGGTAGGGGGTCTACATATGGGAGCCAGACAAGCTCTCTCAAATTACAGGGCCTTAAAAATCTGAGCCTGTTTGTAATGTTTGCATTTCGTGGCATACTTCTCTATGTATGTGTACGTTGGTAAACTGTTTACAGTCAGTAAGTCTTTTAACAAACTACTGAGGTGTGAGTTCCAGATGGGTATTAAAAACAGCAGACCCTCAAATGTAACTTGATTTTGAAAGAGCACAACTTTTCATATGGTCGAGAATACTTCATGTTAAAAAAAAAAAGATCAGTGATTCTATCAGAATCACTGGGTAGAACAAACACAAGGGTATTTTATCATTTTTAAAGTCTATGGGGTGCCAGTCTGGCTCAGTTGGTAAAGTATCTGATTCTTGATCTCAGGGTCATGAGTTCAAGCCCATGTTGGGCAAGGAGCCTATTAAAAAAAAAAAAAAAGTAACAAAAATACTATACCTCTTCTAAAAAAATTTTTTTCTTTTTTGAGTGGGAGGGGGAGAGAGAGAGAGAGAGAGAGAGAATCTTAGCAGGCTCCAAGTTCAGTGTAGAGCCCATGACCCTAGGATCATAACCTGAGCTGACATCAAGAATCAGATGCTCAACTGACTGAGCCACCCAGGCACCCCTAAATATTTTTTTTCTTTTTGAGACAGAGAAAGCAAGCAGGGTCGTGGGCAGAGAAAGAGGGATACCAAGCATCTGAAGAGGCTCGGTGCTGACAGCAGAGAGCCTGACGTGGGGCTTGAACTCACGAACTGCGAGATCATGACGTGAGTTGAAGTCAGAAGCTTAACTGGCTGAGCCACGCAAGCACCCCTCCAAATCATTGATTATATAAAGACGATAACTATGCTAAAAGTCAAGAAACTGCCATTTTGCTAAGACATCACAAGTCTATAGTAAGTCTCTTCTTCCTTTTGAAGACTATGAATGGGAATAGGATAACATAGTCAAGATGGTCTTGGGTATGGTAAGAGACCTTCTGAACCAATTTTAGCAGCAAACTGGCTTTAGCACAATTGCTACAGTGATAATGCCAGGCTGGCTCCTTTCCCCTAGATCAACCCCAGAAGAACCACAGAGCGCAAATCCCTTCAAAGTGGGGAAAGCTGTGAAAATCTCCGAGGTGAGACCAAGAGGTGTTTAGAACGTGTGGAGGCTGTGGCCCAGGGCAAGCAAGGAGCTGTCAAGGTTGGCTCCTGCTGCTTCCCCTCCTCCTCCTGATTCTCATAAGCCGTGTCTCCCGAAATGCTGTAGCCAATCAGACCTCTGTCCCTGCGTCTTCAAGAGTCCAACCTGGGCTGTGCTTGTGGGACCAGGAGAGAAACTCGGAGACTAAGTGTGGGCAGCTGTCGCCTCCACCTTCCCCCACCAAACCCCAGGGCTGGAGAATGATCATCTAAGGAACATATCAGCTCTTAACACAACTCATCTCTGGAGGGCAAAGGCTACGTCCTGACCTGACAGGTTACTTTGTGGGATAAGTGACCGAGGCTTCCGACCCGAGGCCTCATCCACCCCTATTCCCTTGCACTCCCAGGAACCCACAGGGATCAAGCCTTGGTCTTCCCTTATACACACTGTCTGACAAAGAAGCTGGCTGGCACAGGGGTAAATAAGCTCACAGGCTGGGGCAGTAACACACTGGAGGAACAGCACTAAGTCAGAGAAGACAAACTATTAGATCAGAAATTCTAACAGAAGTAGGTATTTCATAACCGATGACTCAGTAATTTGACATTAGCCTAATAAATAGTCTTAAGAGGATAGCGGCAACATAAGACAAAGAAGAGAACCAAATAGAAATGTTAGATAAAAAACTCATGGCTAAATTACAGAACCCAGTAGCTGGGATAAATGGCATAATGGATAGATCACAGAGCTAAGTAAGCAAATTTCTAGTTTCAAGATTGAGGAAATCTAGAAAAAGGACAGGACAGAGGACAAAAATATATTTTGGAATTAAAAAAGAACCTTAGATCCAAAAGGTCAGGCCCAATATAGTGAAATTTAAGAATAACAAAGATAAAATATTCTAATAGCTTATAGAGAGAAAGAGCACAGCACACATGTAAATAAGACTTTGACAAACACCACATTTTCCAAACCAACACTAGATGCAAATGAAGACAAAGGAATAGTACTCCAGAGTATTTAAGAAAATGATTTAGAACCTAGAATACTATATCCAGCTAAACAGTCATTCAAGTTCAAAGTCATGACCAAAATAATCAGAAAGATTTAGAAATTTTACAACATAAAGAGCCACACCTATAAGTGTTAGATGAGGCACTTAACTAAGAGACATATCCAGAAGTTACAAAAAAATATATGAAATAAAGGATCAGATAAATATGTTAATAAAGTTTATGATCTTAAAAACAGAGAAAAGAGAAAACATTTATTTTACCACAGAATTAAAAATCTCTAGGTATTATAAATATGATGCAGTTTTGGATAGGGGAAGGGAGAGATGACCAAGAGTTATGAGAGCTTGCCAAAGTTTTAATCTTATTAGTGGGGAGTTAAAAATGCTATTTTTAATAAAAGTTAGGATTAAAAGCCTCAGAAAGTAGGAAAAAAAATCTAAGAAATAAAAACAATGTATCAACACATTCTTCCAAATGTATTGATAATTATAATAAATGTAAATGGATTGAGTCAACAAAAATAGACACACTGGATTTAAACTTTAATATTATAAAAAAATTTTAAGGTCAGACAAAGGCTACGTAAATTCTGGCAAATGCTAGCAAAAGAAATCCAGTGACACAGTAGTAGTATCAGATAAGTTAGATTTTAAGACAAAAAAAAACATTTTTAGGAATAGAGAGGGTACTACAGAAGTATAAAATGTTTAATACACAAAACAGAGCAATTTTAAACATAATGTCCTAACAAAATAGTCTCTAAATATATGTAGCATAACTTGATAAAAAGAATCAGGAAGAATATTGATTCTATGCAGATCCAATAATTAGAGATTCTACATAAACCTACTAATTAGATTTCCCACAGATTATGTGCTAGGCTATAAAGAAAGCCTCAAAATTACAAAAAATATCACCAGTCCATTAAATTTGACCACAACATATACAAAAATATTAAATAAAAAAGTCACATATTTGGGTGTGCAAAAACATACTACTGAATAATTCACAGGACTAAAGGAAAAAATTATAATGGAAATGTAAAAATATGTAAAACTGCATCATGATAAAAATACGATGTATCAAAAGCCGCAGGATGAGCACAAGTGGTGCCTTAAGGACAATGAATGAGGTGCATATATCACAATATCAAAAGACTTACTTATACTCTAGGATGGTTTTCTCAAATGCAGACAGAACAACGTCTAACTCCGTGAGATCACTGGCTTTCTTTCCTTTTAGACACCAAATATGAACATAGTCGGACATATCTAGAATATTAAGATAAGTCAATTTAATATATGATTGGCTCTAGGTCCAGGGTTCTGAAAGCCCAAAACAAAAACTGTCCCATCAAATTGCCAAAAATAGCTACAGTTGAAGAGGCACATAAGGGGAAGCATGACTCACTTCCTTCTATCCCGGTGCAGTCTCTCACAGATCTGTTGACACCATCACTCTAACTGTGGTCTCCTTGTTTCTACTGAAACAGCCTGAAGTACTGCTACCTCTTAACTACCTCGCTGTACCTTTATTTAATAGTCTGTTGTTATCTAACACCACTGGTAATAGAGCTCTTCTTTGTTAACTGTAATTTCTGAATTTTAATCTACCTAATAGGCCACTTGTAGAACCCATAAAGATTATTCAGTGTGATTTAGTCATAGTAGTATATTGTAAGACGTGAGGTTCTGGTACATCTGTGGATGAAAGATCATGCATTCACTAAAATGGGACTGTAGAAAACTTAAATATATGATCTCATTTTGGGTAAGAGAGTTCGATAAAAGGCTTGAAGAGCAGAGACCAAACAAAAAGCACGGCGGCTCTTTTTGGGTTATGGGCGATTTTCATCTTCCTGTCCATACTTTCCAAATTTTCTAAACATGTAGGACTTCTCTTTTAAAGAACAGAAGGAGAGAGAGAAAATGCTTTAATTCCCACCCATTTTTCAGTAAGTTTTCATTTGAATAAAATATAGAACATGGGTGAATCTCAAAAAAGTTATGCTGAGTAGAAAAAGCCTAAACAAAAGAATATACACTGTACGAAAAGACACTATGTGATGAAAAATTAAGGCAATAAAGCAGGTATAACAATAAAATCTAAGTGTGTGAATATCTGTTGTAAGATTCTTTCACCTTTGTTGTAGGCTGAAAATTTTCATCATAGATATCGGAAAAAAACCAGTTACTACAAAGTCACATATTTTCAGTTTTTAAAGTAGCGATTTTACATACTTACAATTTACTATTTTAACAAAAAATAGGTTTTTCAAATGAAATTCTTGAATGATGGACCAAGTATAAAACACTATTCTGTAACACTATTCTATACCTGAGTCTATGGCTTTACTTCTTGATTTCTTCCTTCTGCCAGAAAACATCTTCTTTTTCTGAATTTTCTACCAAAAAAAAAAAAAGCAAATATTTTTATTTAAAAATTTTCCTTCTCTTAAAACATCAGTATCATAGCCATAGTATTATCAAACACTCTTGATTCTAGCTATTACTCTCATTTAGCTCTAAGTTGTTCAATATGTGTATTAGCTAAATTAACATAAGGAGACATTGGAAAAATTAAACTGTTTCAAAATAAAAAATAAGCAAAACTCTTAGTTGGCTCTGAACAACGATCGTCTTGGAGGAAGGAAGCTGAACTTTTCTGATTTAAGGTAACACTGTGTGGAAGCCGGCGGATTTCTCTCCAAGCCAGAATGGAGTAGCAGCTTCTGAACTAGCGCTCTTGCCACAATCAACCAGAGAATGGGGGGGGTGGGGGGGGAGGCACGAGAAGGGGGGAGGCGACTGGATTCAGGTGCTGGACAGCAGGCACGCAGGGCTGGGAGACTTGGACCAGGGACCCTATGAACGGCCACTTCCCTGCCCCACCAGCACCAGGGGACAGTTTCGACAGCAGCACAGCAAGTTAAATTCAGAGCACGCAGCCCCACTCTGCCGAGGCGGCAGAGACCAGCCTAGAGCAGGCCACGCGCTTGGAACTGGAGCTCAGAAGGGGGCACCCGAAGTGCAGGTGAGGGTGCCCTGCAGTCCCGCGCAGCAGAGACCGCATCCCGCTTACGAGAAAGCAGCCGGCATGGGATTCCGAACCTAACAGGTAGTAGGGGACAAGCCACTCATGGGGGAATTACATGTGGAAAAAGCAGAGATCTCATGAGACGCCATTAAAACCTGTCCACCCAGCTGAGCTACGAGGAAGGCTGCAGCTCTAGAAGCTCCTCTAGAGAGTGCAATCCGGAACAGGGTGATGCTTTTCCTAAGGGGCAAAAATGGATTCTTAGAGAGAGGACGCAAAACAGTTCTTAAGGTCCGTGACTCTCCAAAGGGCCCCAGTTCATAAACAGATACACAGTATGTTGTAGTACTCAAGTTTAGGGAGTGGTCAGGAGAGAAAGAATCTAAAAAGGTTTTGTAGTCAGGACAATAATGAAACGGATTGAGAAGCACTACTCTAGAGTAAGGCCTACTCCGGACGCACCCTCACAAAGCCTCATGCCTGACCAGATTCACAGGCTCTCAGCAGATCTGGAAGAGGATCCCCAGTGATCTGGGCAACTCCTTCCCCTTGGGTGTGGGGGGCTCCCGCGAACAGGATGGAGAGTTGCTCCCTCGATCGGGTCACCTCACAGAAGGCTCCACCGGAGCTGACGGGAGAAGTCCGCTGGCTCTGAAGATGCTGGCCGCCACGCTGTGAGAGCCACATGACTGAGACCTAGGGGTGACTCCCAGTTTCACCCACAGAGAAACCAAGAACCTCAAGCCTACAAAGGCCAGGACTCAAATTCTACCAACAATCGGAATGATCTTAGATGAGGACTAGGGGCCTCAGATGAGATTTCTGTCCTGGAGAGCCCCTTGATTTCAGCCTTATGGAGCCTGAGTAGAGAATCTGGCTAAGGCCGGCCTAGACCTACCTACAGAAACTGTGAGATATACCTGCATGTTACGTCACAGAGTTTGTGGTAATTTATTATGCAGCAACTAAATACTAATGCAGAGGCTGAGTCCCCACGAGTCAGAGCCGCTTAGAAAATCCCTTAGGCTTTTCTCACGTTGACCCTAACCAAAGATAAAACGAAGCTTTCAGAAGCTAAAGACGATCAGCCAATAAACAGGCTACCAATTAGAATAAAAAGTCAACATTCGTAAGAGGAGAATTCAGAGTCTTAACAATGTGTCGACAATTTCCAATATGCAACTGAAAAGTACTAAATTACAAACGTTACACAAAAAATGTGACCCACAGTCAAAACAAAAAAACATACTCAAGAGAAACTGACCAAGTTAGCCCAGAAGAGACTTTAAAGCAGCTCTCATAAATATGTCTCAAAGGGAGCACCTGGGTTTAGTGTTCAACTCTCGATTTCAGCTCAGATCATGATCTCTTGGTTCATGAGTTCTAGTCCTGAGTCGGGCTCTGAGTGGACAGTGTGGAGCCTGCTTGGGATTCTCTCTCTCTGCCCCTCTTCTGCCTGTATGGTCTTGTGCTCTGCTCCCCCTCTCTCTCTCTCTCTCAAAATAAATACACTTAAAAAAGTCCCAAAAAAGTAAAGAAAATTATGGCCTGAGGACTAAAAAAAATAGGGTACCTTAGCAGAAAAAGAGAAACTACATTAAAAGCAAACAATACCAAGCTAAATGGAAATTCTAGAACCAAGGAACACACAACTAAGAACTCATTGGGTAGGGTTTTAGTTTTCTGTGGCTGTTGTAATAAATTACCACAACTTGATGGCTTAAAACAGAAATGTATTCTCTAACGGTTCTGGGGGGCAGAAGTCCGAAATAGTTTCAGTGGGCCAAAAATCCAGGTGTTGGGAAGACAGCAATCCCTCCAGGGACCTAGTTGGGCAAATCTATTCTTTGTTTCTCAGCTTTGGTGGCCCTGGCGTTCCTCAGCTTGCAGTCACATCACTTCAATATCTGCCTCCATCCCCGCATCACCTTCTCTGCGTGCCTCATCCCTCTGCTGCTCTTACAAGGGGACCTGTGAGGACGCTCACGGGCAGGGGGCACCGTTCACCACATGGGGGCTCAACTGCAGGTTTTAGATGGCAAAAGCCTGGTCGGTCAAAGTGAAAACAAAGCAATAAAAACTTACCCAAGTTGCAAACCAGAGAGGAAAAGTTTGGGGGGGGTGGTTGGAGGGGAAGATCAGAGTCTCAGGAACTGTGTGACAATACTAAAATATATATAATACAAGTCAGAACGGGATAGAAAAGTTAAATTTTAAAGAAAAAAAAAAAAGACTGAATTTTCTAACTTCTAGATCCAAGAAGCTCAGTAAACACTAAAGCAAGATAACAACATACTTAAGCATGTCATAGTTAAAATGCCAAGAAACAAGAATGCAGGAATATCTTGACAGCCGCCAGAGAAAAGGGACAGAGTAAATACACAAATAAACATGGGGACAGTAACCAGTGTCACAGCCTTCTCACAGAAACAAGAGAGACCAGAGAACACCATGAAGACCTACTTAAAGAGCAGAGAAAAAAAAATGTCAACGCAGAATTCTACACTCAGTGAATCCATCCTTTAAAAACGGGCGAATAAAGACCCTCTCAGATCAAGAAAACGAGAGAACTTGCGGCCAGCAGATCTGCACGGAAGGGTTGCTGCAGAATGTTCTTCAGGCTGAAGCGAAAAGGTACTAGAAGGAAACTCAGATCTATAGGAAGGAGAAAAGACAACTGGAAAAGAAAAGTCAGCAGGTAACCATAAGAACTACATGTTATTTTCTTTTCATAATTTCCTTAAGAAACAGCTGTTTCAAGCAGAAATGATAAGGTCGTAAGGTTAGGTTTACCATGTATGTAGAAGTAGAACGTGACAGAAACAGCACAGAGGAGGATGGATAAATGGAATAATAATAATATTGTTGTGTAATTAGATTTACATAGTGGGAAGTGGTTAACTGTCAGGAAGGAGGATGTATGAAGTGGTAGCACACTGGCTCTAACTGGACTCTGCTAATTGAAGGAAGCAAACTTAAAATTTTTTTCAATGTTTATTAAGTTTTGAGAGAGAGTGAGTGTGAGCGGGAGAGGAGCAGAGAGAGAGGAACACACAGAATCTGAAGCAGGCTCCAGGCTCTGAGCTGTCAGCACAGAGCCCGACGTGGGGCTCGAACCTACAAACTGTGAGCTCATAACTGGAGTTGAAGTTGGATGCTTAACTGACTGAGCCACCCAGATGCCCCAACCTTCTGAATTTTCTGAAACATTTTTTTAAGAAAAATACATAACCTAGCTTTTTAAAGAATCAAAGGAAAGAGAGGAAATGCTTTATTTTCCTCCTAAACACTTTCAGTCAACTTTTTTCTTCTTCTCTCCTACGGGGATGGCAGACACGCTCTTACCGACTGACTTTCTGTTGCCAGAGGCTCTTTTTCAACAGCAGACGTGGCACTAAGGGGTCCTATTGTTTTAGGAGTGACGGACTCAGCTGGTTTCTCTGGAAGTTCCAAAGACGTACGTGGTGGATCTAGAACAGGTTCACAGTGTTGTGCATTCATTTTCTCTGCTGGTTTAACCTTCCTTCTTATATCACCTTCTTCGGGGCTTTCGGATTCACTGCTAATGGGCTTGACTTTTCTTGCTGGCTATGTTGAGAAGTCAGCATTACTGGTTTAGAAAATATAAATGCTTACCATTCTTCCTGTAATAGTAGATAGTCTCAAAGTCGACAGTTCTCACTTCCCACCTTCAGGCTTAACATAACAGGAAGATGGCAACAAAATTAGCAGGTAGGCAGGGAAACCCAGATTCAAACACTCCAAACAAACACTCCTCAAGTTCACTCCACTTCTGCAGATCATGATCTAAACACATTGCACGAACACGATGAAAACTCACGTGGTACGTGTAGATTTGAGACCTATGTAATGAAGAGCACTTAAAATATAAAAATGCATTTCCCTTTTTGCTTTGAAAGTATCTTCCAAAATATAATATTCTTTCTCTGTGTAAAATGTGCACATTTTCTCTACTTGCATCCAGTCAAAATAGGATATGAAATATGTTGCCAACAGAAGAGAGAACACTCCTACACACCTTCTTTGCAGGCATGTCTACACACATGTCTTCACTTGCTTCAACTTCATAGGTGTCTGACCTGTGCAAAAGAATATACCATCAATATCTTGCACTTACTTCATTTTTATTCACATGCAGTGTGTAAGTTGCTCGTCCAATATGAAAACAAGCTCAATGTAATGTGATTTCTCACATGTCCCAGATTTATAGGGCATCTCCCACTTCCAACGCCCGGAGCACACCAGCTCCTCCTTGGCGGCCAAGTTAACTGTCCTGTTACTGCACCACCTAGTGGTCATGTCTGAGAAATGCACTGGCCCCCATGTTCCCGCTCCCAGGTACAGGGGCCATCATCTGCACTAAAAGCTAATCCTCAGACACTACACCTGTCATTAGAGGCTATAGAAAGGAATAACTTTTTTTCCTTGAAAAGGAAAAAAAATAATCCTAAATTTATGATCAGAGATGAGAGTTCATTTTTTTCCATTCAATTCAACATTCATTTAACACCAACTTCAAAATGCAAAGTGCAGTGAATAAAATTACTTTAAAAATGAGAGCCTTCAGGGGCACCTGGGTGACTTGGTTAAACATCCAACTTCGGCTCAGGTCTTGATCTCATCACTCTTGAGTTCAAGCCCCACACAGAGCTCTGTGCTGACACCTCAGAGCCTGAAGGAGACTTTGGATTCTGTTCTCCCTCTCTCTCTGCCCCTCCCCTGCTTGCGCACACTCTCTCAAGACTAAACAAACATTAAAAAACAATTTTTAAATGAGAACCTTCCTTTAAGATCACTGTCTGGCAGGAAGGCCGAAGAGAGTACCGGGCCTGGCCGTTTCTGCCCAGTGCAGGGCTCTGCGGACAAGCAATCCCTCTTCCGGGTTCTCCGTGGGTGGTGGCCGGAAGTGCAAGCGCTGCCCTACAGTCTGAGCCCATCCCTGCCTTTTCCCGACTCTTCTCCCTTTAAGTTTCACAGAAAGGTCTACTGATAAACCTCTTCCGTTCTAATTCTGCCTCAGTGTACTTACCTGGCCTGGCACAGCGGCCTTCTATGCCATGCATACAGGCCACAGGGAGCCCCCAAGGTGCCAGGCATGCCAGAGAGAGGAGACAGGCATTTCAGAAGGGCGGCGCTGGAGGGCGGATGGTGGGCGGCCCGAGGGAGAGCGCAGTCCCGGGGCCAGGGGCAGCGGGCCGGGCTGTGCTGCAGCAGTGCTGGCTGCAGAGAGCAGCAAGGGCTCACGCTGGGGCAGGGGGCGGGGGGGAAACATGGGCCCTCCGGTTCGTCACAGGCCAAAGAGCACTGGTCAGAGACAGAAGACACTGGGGATGCCGCCCAGCTGCCCAGGTGACAGCAAGACCGTTAACCTAAAGAACATGGAAGGAGCTCGTTGACACCGTGGGAGAGGAAAGGTTTTGCCTTCGTGGAATCCAGGGTGCCTGTGGGCATCTAGAGACATCGGCCCAACCACAGGATACAGCGCGGCCTGGAGAAAGGTGGGGCCAGACAGACAGACTAGGCGAGCGGTGGCATCTGGGTGGCTGAGGCCACGACAGTACAGTTGGGGGCGGGTGGGGAGGAGAGCGCTAAGGGCAGCTTCCCATGTGCACACAGGTGAGGGAGGAAGGAGATTCAGCAAAAAAGAAGCGAGCACACACCTGGTTAAGAGATACCAGGCGCTGATGCCTCCGCGAGTCCTGGGAAATGCTGATCTAGCCTCCCTGCTGCCTTGACTCCCCTTTGTGTGCATACACAGACCCTAACTTAGCCAGACAATTTATTTTGGGGGAGCTTATCACATCATCAAAACCAAGACTACCAAGGACATCCATATGGTTGAATACAACGCACGTGTTCGGTCCTTACATTACTTGCTTCTCTGCTGCACTCGAGCTTCCTGAGCACCCAGCACACACTCCCTCTGCTACTCCTGTGAACAGACGCTGTCCCGGTTTTCTTCTGCCTCCAGCGGCTTTCTTCTCTCCCTCACAAGCTCTTTCCTCTCCTGGGGACAGCAGGTGGGCTTTCAAGGGGGCGACCGGCCCTCACTGCTCTCAGGCAGCCTCTCCCTGCGAGGCCTCACTCGCCACGGCCCCACACACCCCCGCCGAGAGGCCAACAGCGTCAGCTAGAAGTCCAGCTCAGCCCTCTCCTCTGAGTGCCGGACCCAAGGACACAGCTTTGAACTCTGCCATGTCTACAGCAAATTCATGATGGCCTTGGGATGACACGGGTTACGCCGTCTTGTAGGACTAAGCCCTACTTAGTCAATGGCACTGTCATCAACCGATGTGTACAAACCAGAAAGCCAGTAGTCTCACAGCGACTCTTCCCCACCCTCCTAAAGCCAACCCGCCATCCCGCCCGTGGACTGATGTCCTATTGCTTGAGCTCAATCATTTTTCCTTCTGTTGTAACTAGCCTAGTCCTGCTGGCCCTGGGCTACTAAAACACCCCCAAAGTGGTCTCTCCAGCCCACACCCGCCTTTCTTAAACCCATTTTCACACCCGCCTTTCTTAAATCCATTTTCCACACAGCAGCCAGAGAGGCAGTTTGGAGGCCTGGCCACAGCCCCCTCGCTTGATAAAATTCTTTAAAGGCCAAGGGCCAAGTGTAAGGACAAAACTCCTTACCAATAAAATGGGATTAGGTGTGGGTGCAGGTGGTAGAAAATATACCCCCAAAATGGTTTAGGCAAGACACTTGATTTGCCTCCCCATAAAACTCCAGAGATAATTCATGGAGATTTGGAAGGTCCCACTGTGATCAGAGACCCAGATTCCTTCGACTCCATTGCTCTACTTGCTCGGTTCACCGCCTCACAGTTCACAATGTTCACTCAAGCCTCAACTGTCACATCTGTTTCCCTCCATAAGGAAGAAGGAAGGAGCAAAGGGCATAATCTTCCCTAAAGAGAGACTTAACAAAGGTGCTAAAAATTAATCACGAAGACACCTCGGCGGCAAGAGAAGCTAGGAGATAGAGCCTTCATTCTGACAGCCACTTGCTCGGCTAGAATCCAATGTCTTATCACTGAGGAGGAAGGGGAAGACGCTGGGGCAGACGACCAGCAATCCCTAACACCCGTGACAACACAATTTCCATCCTGCCGTGTGTTTCCCTCTTCAGACTATATACTGAGTGACCCCAGCTCTTTTCAGTCCCACAGACTCCCCCTGCTCCCCGCCACCACAGGGCCTTTGTGCCTACCACACTCACCTCCATGGAATGTTCCCTCCTCCTGCCCCCACCCCACCAACCCAATTCCCATCACAGGTCACACCCTTCCCCGTGAGGCTCATCAGGGATCCCTCCTTAATATCTACTGCTCCAAGACAACAAGCATTATGTGTACTCTGAGCTATTACTGTAAACCAAGGGCCTAACATGGGGCCTGGCGTGTGGGCACTGCTCAGTGAATGTTGAGAAAATACAAATAATAAATGCTAACATTTGAAAGTTTACTAGGTACCAGTTTTTTGTTTTTTTTTTGTTTTTTTTTTATTTCTAGGAGAGAGAGAGAGAGAGAGAGAGACAGCGTGAGCAGGGGAGGGTCAGAGAGAGAGGGAGATACAGACTCTGAAATAGGCTCCAGGCTCTGAGCTGGCAGTCAGCACAAGCCCGACCCGGGGCTCAAACCCATGAACCGCGAGATCATGACCTAAGCGAAAGTCAGATGCTTAACCGACTAAGCCACCCAGGCGCCCCTGTACCAACCAGTTTTAAGAGCTTAAGAGGATCAATTCAGCTTAAACAATCCTAGGATGTAGACTGTACTATTATTTCACTTTCCAAACGAAGGAATCGAGAAGTTAAAGGTCTTGCCTAAGATCCAGTACTTTAGAAGTGGCCTAACAAGGACCTGAACCAGCTTAAGAGGTTGGGGGCCAGTTGCCTTAACCAGGGTACTGCACTAACACTGCATGAATGAGGAAGGGACTCAAATATTCACTGAATGCCTACCATGTGCCAGATGGTATTCTAGGCACCCAAGGAATAGCAGTGAACAAAGTTCTGCTTTTTAAGCTGTTCCTATTGGGGAGAGACAATGAAATTAAAAAATGAACATAAAATACTGGCTTGATAGAGGTGAATGCTACCAGAAAAAGATCAGAGTAAAGAAAAGATCTGATGAAGAAAGGTAAGATTTTCTATGAGGGGGCAGAGTGGATTGCTGTGATAAGGTGACACCTGAAATCTAAAAGGAAGCATGGGAACAAACCTTACAGAAGAGCAATCAGGGCCCCTGCGAGGGTACATGCAAAAGCCCTGAGACGGAGCATATTTAAGAATTTGATATTAAAATGATGCTAAGGGAAATAAGCCAGTTACAGAAGTACAAATAAATACTGTATTATTCCACCTATATGAGGAATCTAAAATAGGCAAATTCATAGAATCCTTTTCTTTTTAAACTATTCCAAAAATATGGAAAAGGAAAGAAAACTTCCAAGTCCATTCTATGAGGCAAGCATTATCCTGGTGCCAAAACTACATAAAGACACAATTGAGAAAGATAACTATGGGCCAATATTCATGATGAACATAGATGCAAAAATTCTCAACAAAATACTAGCAAACCAAATCCAACAACACGGTAAAAAAGAAATCATTCACCACGATCAAGTGGGATTTATTTCTGGGCTGTAAGGGTGATTCAATATTCACAAATCAATGTGATGGAGAGAAAGGATAGAACCATATGATTACTTCAATAGATGCAGAGAAAGCATTTGACAAAGTACAACATCCATTCATGATAAAAACCCTCAACAAAGTGAGTTGAGAGGGAACATCTCAGCATAATAAACAGCATATATGAAAAATGCACAGCTAACATGCTCAGTGGTAAAAAAAAAAAAAAAAAAAAAAATTCAGCTATTCCTCCCTAAGATCAGGCACAGGACAGGGAATGTTCCCTCTCACCATTTTTATTTGACAAAGTACAACATCCATTCATGATAAAAACCCTCAACAAAGTGAGTTGAGAGGGAACATCTCAGCATAATAAACAGCATATATGAAAAATGCACAGCTAACATGCTCAGTGGAAAAAAAAAAAAAAAAAAAAAAAATTCAGCTATTCCTCCCTAAGATCAGGCACAGGACAGGGAATGTTCCCTCTCACCATTTTTATTTGACATAGTACTAGAAGACCTAGATACAGCAATCAGACAACAAAAAGAAATAAAAGAAATCCAAATTGATAAGGAAGAAGTGACTATTTGCAGCCATGATACTCTATGTAGAAAACCCAAAAGACTCCACCAAAACACTGCTAGAACTGATAAATGAATTCAGTAAAGTTGAAAGACATAAAAATCAATGTACAGAAATCTGTTGCATCTCTATACATCAATAATGAAGCAGGAGAAAGAGAAATTAAGGAATAAATTCTATTTACAATTGCACCCAAGACAATAAGATACCCAGGAATAAATCTAACCAGAGGTGAAAGACCTGCACTGATGAAAGACATTGAAGATGACACAGAGACGGAAAAACATTCCATGTTCATGGATTAGAAGAACAAATATTGTTAAAATGTCTGTATTACCCAAAGCAATATACACATTCAATAAAATCCCTTTCAATATACCAACAGCATTTTTTTAATGTTTATTTATTTTGAGACAGAGAGTGCGAGCAGAGGATGAACACAGAGAGAGAATCTCAAGCAGGCTCCACATTGTCAGTGCAGAGCCCAATGCGGGGCTTGCTCCCATGAATCGTGAGATCATGACCTGAGCCAAAATCAAGAGTTAGATGAGTAACTGACTGAGCCACCCAGGTGCCCCGACAGTATTTCTCACAGAACTAGAACAAACAATCCTCAAAGTTGTGTGTAACCTCAAAAGACCCCCAAAGACCTCAAAAGCCTTGAAAAAGCAAAGCAAAGCTTGGAGGCATCTCAATTCTGGACTTCAAGTTATATAACAAAGCTGTAATAAGTAATATGCCAGTATGGTACTGGCACAAAAATAGACACACAGATCACTAGAACAAAAGAGAAAACCCAGCAATAAACCCACAACTATATGGTCAATAAATCTCTGACAAAGCAGGGAAGAACATCCAATGGGAAAAGAACAGTCTCTTCAACAAATGGTGCTAGGAAAACGGGACCACTTTCTTGCACCACACACAAAAATAAACACAAAATGATAAAAGACCTAAATGTGAGACCCGAAACCATAAAAATCCTAGAAGAGAACACAGGGAGCAACTTCTTTGACATTGGCTATAGCAACATTTTTTTAGATATGTCTCCTGAGACAAAGAAACCAAAGCAAAAATAAACTATTGCGCCTTCATCACAAAAGGTTCTGCACAAAAGGAAAAAAAAAATCAACAGGACTAAAATGCAACCTACAGAACGTGAGAATTTTGCAAATAACATACCTGAAAAAGGGTTAGTATCCAAGGTATGTAAAGAACTTACAAAACTCAGCACCCAAAAAAACAATCCAATTAAATAAATGGGCAGAAGACATGAATAGACATTTCTCCAAAAAGGCATCCAGATGGCTAAGAGACACATGAAAAGATGACCCTCGCTTATGCTCAGGGAAAGGCAAATCAAAACCCCAATGAGTTATTACCTCACACCTGTCACAATGGCTAAAATCAACAACACAAGGAACAACGGGTGCTGGTGAGGATGTGGAGAAAGGGGAGCCCTTGTGCGCGGCTGCTGGTAGAAACGCAAACTGGTGCATCCACTGTGGACGACAGTACTGAGGTTCCTCAGAAAGTTAAAAACAGAACCACCCTACAACCCTGCAATTGCACTACGGAGTTTTTATGCAAAGAATACAAAAACCCTCATGCAAAGGGATACATGCACCCCTGTGTTTAGAGCAGCATTATTTACACTAGCCAAACTATGGAAGCAGCCCAAATGTTCGTTCATCAATTTATGAACAGATAAAGAAGAGGTGGTACGTATATACAATGGAATATTACTCAACCATAAAAAAGAATGAAATTTTGTCATTTGTAACGACATGGATGGAGCTAGAGACTATTATGCTAAGCGAAGTCGTCAGTCAGGAAAGACAAATACCATGTGATATATGCAGAAACAAAACAAAGGAGCAAAGGGGTTACAGACAGAGGGAGAGAAGGGGGGAGGGGGAGGGGGGAGGGGGGGAGGCGGAGGGAGTCAAGCCAAGAAACAGAATCTTAGCTATGGGGAACTGATGGTTGCCAGAGACAAGGTGGGGGAAACAGGTAATGGGATTAAGGAGGGCACCTGTGATGAGAACCAGGTGATTCCAACTAAACTAAAAAACTCCTCCCTCCCTCCTTAAACCAGCTTCACAAGCATGTTTCCTAAGATAATCCGGTAGTGGTCAATTGTAATGACTTTTTTTTTTTAATTGGATTTTTTCATAAGTGAGGTATAATGGACATATAGTAGTTTGGGGGCATACGACATAATGATTTGACACTTGCATATATTGAAAAATAACCTCCACAATAAGTCTAGTTAACGGCTGTCACTACGCAGAGCTATAAGAGATTTTTTTTCTTGTGACGACTGTCAAGATCTACTCTCTTAGCAGCTTTCAAACCTACAACACAGTATCACGCCTATCGCCATGCTGCAATTGCACCCCCAGGACCGTTTCCTTTGCCTGAAAATTGTACCTGTAATTAGTTATTATAAGTAATGGTAGTTTTTGAAAACAAGTTTCTGTGTACCGGTTCTCTTAAGGAAAAACGTGAGTTGGCTCCAAAGATCTTTAAAAAGCTTTAGGTTTATAAGGCTCTACCTTAGAGAGCTTCTCGGAAACAACTGCTTAAAGTAGAAGCTTACCATTCCTCCACTTCTTTTCCTTGCGGAGTTGAAGGCAGAGAGGAGCTGCAGTGTTTGGAGAATTCTTCTTCATCAGCATATATAGCAGTGCTGTGTAAAGGAGGATCTACAAAAGATGCGGTTTTTAAAGGACAACTCTCAAAGTCTGGCAGCTTGCGGAGTGTTGACATGTGTTCTCTACACCGCGATCTCCGTTTTAATGGCTACCAATTACACAGGCTACTTCCTCCCCAAACGCTCTTGCGCTCGCACCTCAACAATGAGCAATTTAAACCCTTCCACTCGTAAATACACGGATATTTATCAGTTATAGCCTGTATCACTGTATTTGCATGTGCTATGGACATAATTTTTAAGGATCTAAAAGAAAACTAAACAGGGGCGCCTGGGTGGCTTAGTCGGTTAAGCGTCCGACTTTCGCTTAGGTCATGATCTCGCGGTTCGTGGGTTCGAGCCCCGCGTCGGGCTCTGTGCTGACTGCCAGCTCAGAGCCTGGAGCCTGTTTCAGTCTGTGACTCCCTCTCTCTCTGACCCTACCCTGCTCATGCTGTCTCTCTCTCTCTCCTAGAAATAAATAAAAACATTAAAAAAAAAAAAAGAAAACTAAACAAGCAGCCTGACAGTGTCTGTCCTCACCTGACAGAGCATCACGGCCCTAGCGGGGAGGCCACCACGTTAATGATCACCTCCAGGCCTGGAGTGCTTGGCCCACGGGGACGCTTGAACCTCACAGAGCACCGAGCTGGGAGGAGGGGGCCCTCTCGGGAAGGATTCCAGTCCTTTCCTCCTTCTCTTTCCCTGCGCTGTCTGAGCCCTTCAGGCGCACGAGGAGCTAACTTCAGCGAGCAAGAAGATGAAAGGGAGGGAGAGCAATGGCCTTGATGGAAAGGCACAGAAGACGACTTGGGGGAAGGGAACACTCCTACCTGCTCAGGGAAAAAGAGAGACCTCAGAACAGGGGCTGCCCACGGGGCTAGGCTGCTGGCAGGCAGGGAGAGCGTGCGCGGGGGAGGGAGGGGGCCAGGAGTGGGAGAGTGGAATTGCTTTTGGGGGCGTGCCCAGTAAGAGCCAAGTTATCATTTCTCAGCGTATTCAAATTTCAGCGCAGCAGCAGCAGCATAAGCACGGTAGTGTGCATTTATTTATTTTTTAAAAATGTTGTATTTATTTCTGAGGGGGAGGGTCAGAGAGAGAGGGAGATATAGAATCTGAAGCAGGCTCCAGGCTCTGAGCTAGCCATCAGCACAGTAAGAAAAAAAGTGGGGGGCGTGTGTGTAGCCAAGAGAAATGCAAGCATGAGTCTGTACAAAACCTGGTCTATGAACGTTCAGAGCAAGGTAATCCCTATTGGCCAAAAAGTGGAAACGACCCAAATGTACATCAACTGATGAATGGATAACAAAAGGAGGTACATTCGCACAATGGATTATGGGGCTACAACATTTTTTGGAATGACATACGACACTGGCTACAACACACAGGGGCTGTGAAAATACTCTAAATGGAAGAAGCCAGTCACAGATGAACACGATGTAGGACTCCACTTACATGAAGAGGCACACCCATGGGGACGGGAAGTAGGTGTATGGAGGGCGGGGGCTGGGGGGGGAGGGGAAGGCCGGGGTGGAGGGGAGTGAATGCCAATAGGTACAGAGTTTCTTGTGTAGGATGGGCTGCCTAGGGTGTTCCAGAATAGACAGTGGTAAAGGCTGTGCAATTCTGGGACGACACTAAACCACAACTGAATTGTACACTTGAAAAGGAGGAATTTTTTGATAAGTAAATTACATCTCAATTTAAAAAATTACGTGGTTTCTTTTGGATTCAGATCTTCTATATTTTAATTTCCTTTAAATAAGTAATTGGAACATTTTATTATTTGAGAGAGGGAGGGAGAGAGCACGAGTGGAGAAGAGTGGCAGAGGGGGGTACAGAGAGAAAGAATCTATGCAGGCTCTATGCTCAGCGTGCAGTCCAACACGGGGCTCGATCCCACGACCCTGGGATCATGACCTGAACTAAAATCAAGAGTCGGACGCTCATTCAACTGAGCCACCCAGGCACCTCAGTAATTAAAACATTTTAATCAGGTCATAACAAAAGATGTAGTCTGGTAATGATTACTTTTTACCTTATAAAATATACAATATGTTTTTATTAAAAACTTAGACTAGAAAATATTAGATACCAAATTAAATATATGTGAGAAGGTGTAGGTTTTCGAAATTCCCAAACTTATTCCAGCAAAAATGTCTGATCACTGCTGGTCTAAATGTGGGGGCACTTGGCACATTCTGCTCATTTAAAAAAACAATTTTTTTATGTTCATTTATTTTTGTGAGAGACACAGAGAGAGCACAAGTTGGGGAGGGGCACAGAGAGAGGGAGACACAGAATCCGAAGCAGGCTCCAAGCTCTGAGCTGTCAGCACAGACCCCGATGCATATTTTTGTTAGTAACTAGCCTAAGGTTTTAAGGGTAAACTACATTAAAGTTTTTAAGATAAAGATTCGAAATACTAACCAAAGATTTCATAAGGTTCTTCATCTTTCTCGTGTTCACCCAGCCTGTCGATGCTAGAGATACCAGAATTATCAGGAAAATCAAATACATCAGTAGGCTTCTGCTTTGGGTCAGCTTTCTAAAAGTGAATAAGGTCAAAGTCATTGAATTGGTTGTAACAAACAGGAACATTACAAAGTTGATCTATTTAGCAAGGATAATCCCGCTATCACGGCTGCCTAAAGAGTGATCCTTAACACTTTTTGAGAGGGGTGTTGGGGGAAACAGACCCCTTTGACAAACTAAGGCAGGGCTCACTAAATTCTATAAAGGAGACTCAACAGAGTAGGTTTTGCATTGTTGCAACTTCTCAACTCAGCCATTATAGTCTGAAAGCAGACAGTGACCTTGCAGAAACAGACACTGCTGTGTTGCAATAAAGCTTTATGAATAATGAAATTTGAATTTCATATCATTTTTGCATATCATGAGATAGTCTTCTTTGGATTTTATTCCAACCATTTACAAAGGTAAAAATCTTTCTTAGCTCACAGGATTGGACACAAACAGGGAGCAGGCCAGATCTAGCCCATGGGCCATAGTTTGCTGCCTCCTGATCTGGGAAATCTATGGGCCCTCTCCCCCATGCACCTGAAAGTTCTTAAGAATATACATGGGTCAAAACTCCCAAAGACGAGACAAGGGTTTATGGTTCAAGATACTAACAAGTCTCATGATGTTCGCTACCTCAAATCTTCATGAAATACCAAAACATCCAGAAAATGAGAAAAAAAAAATCTATCATAGCTCTGGGAAATGGGGAAGGGTGCCATTAACAGATAAGAAAACACGGGGGAAATTCTAGAAGATATTAAGGAGATGGAGTAAAATGGGCCAAAAAAAACTTCCCGACTTAGGGGCCCTCACTATCCAATCCGGCATGAAGTACATGGGGGTGGGACCCCAGAGAAGGGGAGCTGTCAGGCCCTCCCAGTCTCCCGAATGCAAATTGGCCTCCAGCTGCCTTCCAAGGAAAGAAATCAGGAACCCTAAGCAATCCATCTCGGGCACTCTAGATTTCCAGCTAGGGTAGGCTGGGCCGAAGAACTTGGAGAATTCCGTGCCAGGTACACAAAACGCTAGCCAAATGGCTACGTGAAAAAAACAAAATATAGAAAGTTGTACAAATTTTTACAGGATGTCAATTATCCAAATGAAAACCAACGGAGGCCCTGAAAACAAGATTCCAGATGTTAACAGTGGTCATTTGTTCTAATATACTGAAAAAGGTGGCAGATAAAGAAATATGCTTTTCACTACAACGAACACTGAGCTCACCAAGGGAAGTCTACGAGACTCGAAGCTTCCCACAAAACGTTCGTTATTTCAGTGTCAATTATGAGATAACTACATTAAAATAAGAAGAGAACTTACATCTTTTGTGGAATGTGTTTTTCCCATAGAGTTCTTTGAAGATCTCACACTATTAAACAGCAAAAACACACAAAAAGGAAATAATTAATGTAACCGAGCATTCCCCCCCCCCCCCCCCCCCCCTACCTCATATCTGTTAGTTGCACAAGGAGTGAGCACCCAGGGAGGCTCAGGTGACGGAAAAAGCCTTTTGGAAAACAGAACCTGTATCTCACACACACACATNCCCCCCCCCCCCCCCCCCCAGATTATATCTGTTAGTTGCACAAGGAGTGAGCACCCAGGGAGGCTCAGGTGACGGAAAAAGCCTTTTGGAAAACAGAACCTGTATCTCACACACACACATAGATATTTTTTTACAGGTCCAGTCATATCGCCAGCGTACCAAACAGCACACCTCTCTCCCTCAGGGACACGGAAACTCTTAATCCTGCTATTCTGCGTGTCCCTGAGGCCAGGCCGATGGCAAGGACTGACAATTTCTGCCGAACAGAGCGCAGGGAGGTACGCGGACATTCAGTAAGCGCCTGTGCCCGGCTCTCGCACGTGCATTTTCGCACCTCGCTCCATGAGCCCCACGCTGCAGATGTGTATTTGCCCAAAGCAGCACACGGCCAAGGAGGAGACGCCTGCGTCAAAATTTACAGCAGTTCCAGCCCAGCGCTCCCGCCTTCCCACGGCTCGCGCCCCGCCCCTGGGCAGGAAGATAAAAGGATAAAGCCGTAAATCTTTGCAGACGTAACAGTGACTGAAACACAACCTGGAAATAGGAGTCGGGGGAAGCAGTATCGCCAGTGACTGTGCACCGCGTGTCCTCCGAGCACCAGGCACCGTAGGACAGCGGGGGGGGTGTGGGGGTGTGGGGGGGGGTGGGGCGTGGGTAGGACACCACCCTCACCCTGACTCTGCGACAGGCTCTACAGCCACCGTTCGGGGACGGCACAGATTGCTGTGTCTGAACCACTATTCCTTTGAGTAATGTTTTATTTGCTATAACTTCAAACCTACAGAAACATTACAAGAACATTCTGTATATTCTCTACCCAGGTTCACCATTCACGTGTTGTCTCATACGCCGCGTGTGTAAGCTAGAGACACGTGCACCTTCAGCCCTCCAGAATTCAGCGTCTTTCCGGAGAGAGCATTACCGTGCTGAGCCACGGTGCAATTTCCAAATTAAGAAAGTTAACGCTGATAGGATCCTATAATCTACAGTCCATATCCAAATTCCACCCGTTTCCCCATAACTTCCAATTTCCCCCCATATTTTCAAAAAGGAAATACAAAAGAATATAAATTAGAAGATTGCACTGAACATTGTATTTTCATAAACCTTTTTGTTGTTGTTCTAGAGGTGTGTAGCGCACCTGTGTGTATTAATTGTGACGTAAAACATTACTGTGAATCACAGTCAACAAAAATGCTGAACTCTTCAGAGCAGCGGTTCTCAAGCTTAAGACATCAGAAGCACCTGGAAGGCTTCCACCAGCCTGCTCGGCCCCACCCCCAGAGACTCGGATGCCCTCAACCTGGGATGGGGATCGGAGATGCTGAGTTTCTATCAAATACAATTTCTAAAAACAGTTTAAGGACCACTGCTTTGATTCTCCTCTCCAAAGAAGGTGGTAGACCAGGCATTCATTTCATAGCATTTATGATTCTAGGGTTCAGAAAAAAGAAGTGAAGTGACTTATCAAAGGTCACTCAGCCAAGTAACAGATTGAAGAACTTCTCCTCCACTGGCTCTTGCCTCCTCTGTGCTTAAAAAAAAAAGGTCAAGTTTCCTCCTTACCTTAGGGTAGGAGCAAGGTGAGGTTTCCAAAGATGGAAACCCTGTGATGCCATATGTAAGATTTTTGGTAGAGGTGCCCCAGTGCGTTTTGGGGAGAGGGAGGAACAGATTTCATGAGTCTCAAAGGCAACAATGTTGTATGTACGCAAACACACACACACACACACACACACGAGTCTGGTTCTCCCCCACCAAAGAGACGGGTCTAGTCTCAGTTCATTCCACCTCCCTGCTCTGTCCTGCTCCAGGCTTTCTCCTAAACTCTGCTTGGCTTGCCTTCCATTGTCACCCTGCAGCATCCACAAACGTCACCTTCTCCAGGCAGTCTTCCCACCGCCCAGGAAGAACTCCAGAATGTACACTGACGTTGTGTCCCCACCACAGCAAGCCGAGACCCCTTTGGCTAGGACCACACCAGGCCTTTGGATGCGCTCTAGACACCAAGACACCGGCAGCGGGACAGCTGTCAATGAATCCATCAAAAATAACATTCTGGAGAGCAGTTTCGCAGCCTGTATTTAAATGCGTGCCGTTTTTTGATTAAAACAAAACTGCTTCACCATCCTGGAGTGCCCCTTTTTAAGAGCAACAAGAGGCAGCTGGGTCCCCCAGCTGGAGACTTAGTTCTGCTTTAAGGTCTGTGTTACAAAAACAGCAGGGTCTTGAAAATAAGAATACTGACGGCCAGCCAGGGTGCAAACTTTCCAGAACGTAACGTCTGGTAAGCAGTAGGCACTCAATGAGTGACTTGTTGGATTATTCTGTTTCAAAATACTTCAAGCCTACTTTAGCCTACACTCGCCCACCCAAAGCTAACATTAACTCACGTTCCCTTCCAACCGCCAGGAGGTTTTCAGCTCTAACTGCTTTAAGTCTCACGCAAACCGCTAGTAGTCGCGACTCCTCCTCCCATTTTATAGGTGGAAACCGAGCCCCCGAGCGAGTTTCACAGGAGCAGAGCCAGGGAGCCTCGCTCCGCGGCACAAACGCGGCAGGAAGAGAAAGAGACAAAGTCGGTGCCCGGGCTGCGTCCCACGGCCCTGGGTACTTACCCGCCGCGCCCTAAACCCCGCACCCGCCGCGACGGAGCCATCCGCCTTTACTGCTCGGCGAGTAGGCGGAGCCAGAAAAAAATCCCGCCAAACCGCGCGCCGCTCCGAGCAGCCAATCAGGGCCGAGCCTGCGCGCACGCCCCCCACGCTCCGCCCCGGACCTTTTCCTCCCTCGGGTCCTCCCCGTCCTGAGGCGCATGAGAAAACCTGACTAGGATTATGGGAAAGCGGATCTGGAGTCAGCGTCTTACGACCAATTGCTGATGGTCCCTGAGCCGTCAGCAACTTGCCGGGCTTTTCCTCCCACCCGCGCCCGCGCCCGTTTCCCAAAGCTCCGCAGTTCCGGGCCGTTTGGGCCCGCCCAGGGGGCGGAGCCGGAGCTGAACGGAGGTAATGTGGCAAGCCTGTGGGTACCCGATCCAAACCCGGGTAGGAGTACCTGACGCCTAGGCTCCTGGGCAGTTAGAGCGATGCATTGCCAACAAGGCAGGATTTGACTCTGATGCTGCCCTTTAACCAGCTGTGTGAGCTTGGCCCGTGATTTTTACCTCTGTTCTAGTTCCCTCATTGTAAATGGGAAGGGCCCCTTCTGGATTCTTTTCTTTCTGTTTAAAAATTTAAACAGGGGTGCCTGAGTGGCTCAGTGGGTTAAAAGTCCGACTTCGGCTCAGGTCATGATCTCGCAGTTGGTGGGTTCGAGCCCGGCGTCGGGCCCTGTGCTGACAGCTCGGAGTCTGGAGCCTGCTTTGGATTCCGTGTCTCTCTCTCTGCCTTTCTCCCAGCTCGCACTCTGTCTCTCTCAGAAATAAATAAACATTAATAAAATAAAATAAAAATGTATTATCCTGCAAAAGACTGTTGGCCCTTTACCACACCGTAAATAAAAATGGACTTAAAATGGATCGAAGACCTAAACTTAAAAACTATACACCTCTTAGAAGAAAACAGAGCAAAAATACTTAATGACATTGAATTGGCAATGATCTCGTGGATATGATGCCAAAAGCACAGTTTGGGATCACGAAAAAGTTCTGGAGATGGATACTAGTGGATGGATGCCTAACAACATGTACTTAAGGGCATGCCGCTAAAGCATACAGTTAAAAATGGTTAGAAAGCTAAAGTTGATGTTATGTAGATTTTATCACAATAAAAAGTTAGAATATAGTTCATGCATACAAAAGAATACAACATATATAACGTAATGATAAAAAGGAGCACCCATGTACTCACCACTGGATTAGAAAATAAATCATCATTCCACCAGCCTTGATAAATCCCTACATAATAATTACTGTTTATTTCTAAATTTTATATAAATGATGTTAGGTATGTCCTCTGCAAGTGCTCTTAATCAAAGCTATGATTTTTAGATTTAGCCACATCGATGCATGTAGCCATAATTCATTCATTTTCATTGTCTTTGGAGGGCTTTAAATATTCCACATTTAATTTATTCATCCCCCTGTGTATGCTTGCTTCAATCTTTTTGCTCTTATCAACAATGCAGTGCCCAACATTCTTGTAAATGTCTCATATGACATATACCTATACCTGCGAGTTTCTCTAGGGATAGACCTGGTAGAAATATTATTGCCTCAGAGGATAAAGACATTTTCTGCTTTATGTGATAAGCCCAATTTTTACACCTCGTTTCTTTCATAGACTACAATTTACATCCCCCTTTTATATCTGCAACATAGAAAAGTACCCTTGGCTCCATATACATGTCAACACTTAGAATTTTTAAGACTTTTGCATTTTTACCTAACTAGTGAGTTAAAATGGCATCCTATTATGTTTTTGATTTGCATTTCCCTCAAGACCATCATCTTTTCATTGTTCATAGGCCCTTCCTGATTCTTCTTCGCTGAAATCACCTCACCCAGGAATCATCTGGGCAATTGCCATAGGGGAATCAATCACCTTCCAGGAATTGAAGGTATCACCCTGCTGACGGGTAGAAATAGGGTTCCTGGCACCACTGAAACTTGTCACCCTTACGAGACTGGACAGGTAGCTCCATTTTCTGGAAAAAGGGCTATAGGTCTTATGCTTGTGGATCTGAAAAGAGAAACTGCCCAACTGTGAAGACGGGAAGATGTTCAGCACTGCAGATGAAATAAAAACTCAACCCCAGTAGGTGTAAAAACTGAAAGGAATGTATGAGCTTGTGTCACTGAAAAGCCCAGATGTAGGATGGCTTTGACAGCCATGACAGTTTTACCTAGAGGTTTGAGAAGCCATCAGGGCTCTGAATCCATTTTCTTTCTCTTCTTGTACATCATCTTGTTCGCCAGGCCGTGTACTATCAGCAGCAGCACTGGCGGCAGCACTTGGGTTTACTGAGCATTTATTCTGATCCAGGCACTGTGATAAGTAGTAAACCATTTAAACCTTTCCATAACCCTGTGTAGCTAGCACTACAATCCCACTTTGCATATGAGGGAACTAAGGAACCGTCCCACAGGTGCCAAGAGGTGGTGCTTGCATTAAATCTTAGGATCCGAGCCCAGAGCTGGTACCTAGCAGCTGTTCCAAATCTCACAGCAGAACAGCACCATTTAAACACAGGTAGGAGCTTTGTCCCAGTATCCCCAGAAAAAGGCTTAAGCTTTAATGGGGCTTTGATGACATGTGTTAGATTCTCCAGGGAAACAGAACCAACAGGAGGTACACACGCACACACACACGCGCGCGCGCACACACGCACGCACACACAGAGCCATGGTATGTGTGTATGTATATTTATAAATATAAAAGAAACCTCTCTCTCTAATGTATACATATTTAAAAAATGAAGTACCCCACTGTTAATACAGGAAGAGGTTCAGCGCTCTAGATGAATATTTATATACATCTACATGAGAGAGAAATTTATTTTCAGGAATTATCTCACGCACTTAATTGTGGAGTCTGACAAGTCTGAAATGGAGAGGGCAGGCCAGCAGCCCTGTAAATTCAGGTAAGAGTTGATGTTGCAGCCTTGAGTCTGAATTCTCCAGGACAGCACGCTGGAAACTCAGGCAGAATTTTTAGGCTGCAGTCTTGAGGCAGAACTTTTTCATCTCGGGGAAGTCCCCGTCTTTGCTCTTTAGGCCTTCAACTGATTGGGTGAGGCCCACCCGCGTTATGGAGAATAATCTGCTTTACTCAAAGTCTACTAATTTAAATATTAATCACATCTAAAAAAACACACCCTTTCCAGCAACATCTAGACTTGTGTTTGACCAAACAACTGGGGACTATGACCTTGACCCATGACGTTAACAAACACAACCTCTGAACCAGTTCGTGTGGCCAAAAAACTGGAGCACGCTCACAACCTTCCTGAAACCTCATGGATTCCTATTGGAATTGGGGCAGTGGAGAGGGGTTGGCAATTGGGAAAGCAGGAAATGGATGCTGTGGAGACAGGCAATTCGATTCCTCTGCAGAAATTTGCCCAAGGTTGGTTGCAGAGCTGGCCGGTCATAGGGAAGCAGGATTTCAACCTAGGCGTTCTAATACCAAACTCACATTTGTTCCACTCCCTCACGCTGCCTTCCCAGTGAAACTGTTAGCTCAGAGCAGTGATTCTCAAGTTGGGTGAGTAGAGGGGAGAGGAAAGGGGGCAGACCGCAGGGTCTCTGGGGTGGGCGTGGTATGAAAAAGCAGGTACTATGATACCGTGGACAAGACTCTCAGTTGCTCTGGTCAGAGGTTGGGTGGGAGCCCTGCCTAAGAATTTGGTGTCAAATGGCAATTTCAAAGCCTCTGTGGTGATTCGTCCTGCTGGGGTGGAGACCGGAACCCCTTCTTGAGCATCTGAACGTAGAGAGCCAGGTGTGGAGCCTAGTCTGGGAGGAAGCAAGTGAACACTAAGGCATAAGACAAGTATTAGAAACCTGGGGGCTGGAGACTGGCGGCTCAAGAGGGGAGAAGGAGCAGTCAAGGGAAAAAGAAAACCCCAGCAGATCAGAGAGGTCGCAGCCAAAGGAAGATCTGGTCACTGGGAAACTCTCTATGAAGACAATGGCAGATTACTTTTTAAGGAAGCCATTGACAATACACTAAAACCTTGGTTAGTGAGCATCATTCATTCTGGAAACATGCTTGTAATCCAAAGCACTTGAATATCAAAGCGAATTTCCCATAAGAAATAACGGAAGCCCAATGATTCGTTACACAACCCCAAAATATTCATATAAAATTATTACAATACTGTAATATAATACAAAATAATAAAGGAAATACAAAATATAAAGAGAAATAAACAAATGAACTTGCACTTCCCTTTGAAAACCTTTGTGGCTGGTGTGAGGGAGATAAGAGAGAGGCGGGTTATTGTGTAGGACGACGTTCACTATCACTAACGGATGTTGACTGCAGTTCGGTATTAATCCACTCTTGTCATAGACCGTATTTCATGTAACGGGCAGTAAGGCAGCAGAGGAAAGGGTCTATATCTGCAGGCAGCCTGATCTAGAATGAAGCAAAGCATTCCTAGCTGGCTCTTGGGTGGAAAAGCAAAGGACTGTCCATAGGTGCTGGGAAGTGATGACAAATACACTAGTGCCAGTTGTGGGCACCTTCCAACGTTCTGAAATATCACCGATTTCTGCCAAACACCGCGCCTGAGACCGAGCATCCAAGCATGGGAGACAGTCACCCACAGTCCCCAGTGAGGGAGAGAGAGAGAGAGAGAGGGAGGGAGGAACCATTGGCTCACTTGTGATCATGTTACGTTCAGCATCACGTTCTACTCGTATTATAAGACATTGTTCATTTATCAAGTTAAAATTTGTGAGAAATGTGAGAAATGTTTGCTCCCCTTGCAGAACACTCACAGAGCAAGTTACTAGCAATCCAAGGGTCTTACTGTATTTTCTATGTTCAGATCCTTGCGTTGCGTGTGCTCTTTCCATGGCTGTTAACCTTTTGTGAATGTTC